TTAATAAAAGAAAAACTAAAAATCACCTTTTAAATTCTTTTATAAAATGGCTTTCAATTTTGGCAAACGAAGGCTGAAATTTTTCTAGATGCCTTTAATGGACTCATGGTGCTAAAACTAACTGAGAAAATCTGGAACCAACAAACCCATGCCTTATTACCACGCAGCTCGACTTTATTCATTCCATAAGTATAGGTTATGTAAATGTGAAAAACCTATGCTAATTGGACATACTGAGACTGCACCTAATGTTCACCAGTGCATTATGGTATAAACTCTAGAATATTTATTTGTGATTTCACTTAAAGGACAATATTGGTGTCAGTCATTATCACATTATGTGATAGAACTAATTAAACACGTTCCAAATATAATTTTAACACAGATATCATTGCTACGATAGCTGAGTAATACAGGTTTCCTGAATCGGAAGTGACGAACGCCAAAGGAAAACACGAGTCAGGTTTCCTCTTACAGTCCCATATAACAACTTTTGGTCTTGAAAGGAATTAATAGTGAGCAGAAATTCGGCCGTGTATCTGTTATCACTCGTCACATCAGTCAGTTATATAGAGGTGTGACTCGTGCTTTCCCTAATGTCCGTTTTTAAACATTGGTCTTAAAGATGCCCCACCTCCTCGCTACAAACTGTATATTTTGTTGATTTATCTTGACTAAAAACATATTCAAGCTAATTTATCTATCAAGTAAATTATTGGATTATTCTCTGTTGTTAAATCGGACAGTTTATTGTGTGTTTAAGTCCCTCAATGTTCTCACAACGGTTAGCCATTAGATCAACATTTAAGAAGCGCTCCTTACGCCAGTTAGAGACACCTTTACATTTCTGTCCTCCCCATGCATGGGGGTTTTCAAGGAATCCAACATTTTTTTTATTTAAGATTGAGTGTCTCTACTTTCTTTAAATACCATATGCAATACTTTTATTGGAAATATTGCTACCCTATAAATACTTTCGTGGGAATGAATCTTTAAGTATTAATAGGAATTCCAGACTTAACTAAATGGCAGCAAAAGTATATTGCCATTTAACTTTGATTTCTTAAGAAATTCCGAATAGTGTTGGTGTTTTTTTTAAGTAGTGTGTCTGCGTTAATCTAAACTTATTCAATAAGTCTGGTTTATTTAATTACGATGAAAATTACTGGAACAAAAATACCCACCAAAATCGCTGCTTACTTTTGTTGAATTACGCGCGCTTTTTTTTAATTCAATATGATTCTCCATATAAAATTATCATCATCGACTGAAAAATACTTTAAAATGAAAAAAATATACATTTTACTTACCACAGAAACCGTGTTACCTACAACACCAGCCATGATTAATTTACTAACACCCAAATCTGTGGCCATAACATAATAAGACAACAACACGGAAACTGGCGGTCGTATTCAAATAATCCTAGTCAAGACCTACATACATTCTCCCTTAGTGGTCTACACACAACCTATATATATATATATATATATATACTAGAAGCTACCATTCACAAAATTAGCTGTCAGCCTTTATGTGGGCGGATTATCCCAATGTCACGTGTGATGAAAAATGTTGGAATTTGTTGAAATTGTTGTCAATGTGGACGCGACTGTTTATTTTTAGAGCTGAACTTTGACTGATGAAGACCATATGGTATCAAAGCTGATTACTGGGTGGGGGAGTCTTTCTTTCTTTTCGTCATTCATGTACAGTCATCAACAACTCATCAAACATAGTCAATGATATTTATTTATACTGATGTGATTAATTTCCATTGTTGCACGGATATGATATCTTAATATAAGCCAAGCTATAAGTTGGGTGTGAGCGATAAACGGTCGCTTCACGCCTTGAAAGATACAGCCCGGGTCCGCTGTGACCTTAGCAACAAATCTTGATTGTTTAAAAATCAATTTTAAACGGTTGTCTCAATATATTTACCATTATTATAACGTTGCCGTGTTATTATCTATTTATCCATTTAATAACCATGTTCTTCCTTCACAATGTCATTTTTCTAACACTAATAATCACGCAATAAACTCTAAATGTCAATGTGAGCATTAAATACGGCACCAAATCCCGCCCCACCCCTTAAAAAAATAAAAAAATAGTACCATTAAATTTCTTGTAGTACCTGATTATTATGAAGATATTTTAAAATTTACATGTCCAACCGTTTGTACACAGACTAAATCTGTTACTCAATATTTATAGTATTCGGAATTAAATACACGAATTAGAATTCAATATTGGTTTTTTTCAATCAATATTGATGTTGTTATATTACCGTGAAAATATAGGATCCTAATATCCAATATTTAATACACAATAAACATTTTATAATCAGTACACGAGTCGTGTACTCTGTGGTTTTGGGCGTCATTTGTATTGAACAAATAAAAACATAATAATTTAATGATTAAATCACATTACATTATTAATAATATGGGCCTTTAGACCCATTTCCTATGTTCTATGGTGCCAAAGAATAGAGTTATACTCCCTTTAAACTGAAAGGTCTCGTGTAAAGTATGGTAGTTGATGCCTGTTAATTGTGGAGGTGGAATCGTCTCGGATTGTCTTACCACCGAATGATTCGCTTACTGGTTGCACGTAAACACGTTTCTCATAGTTTACAGTAGGTTGGAAAAACACCAAGGAAATGAAATGGGGTTTAACGTTTTACTGTTCTGCTCCGACTGGGCTAATGAAGACGGACAGCGTCACTAAGTCCAACTCTTATATCGAATTCCAAATGCCAAGGGATCTTTTACGTGAACGCTAATGTATACACGGGACCTCGGTTTTTGGTCTCATCCGAACGACTAGACAGCCGTTCTTGTCAGGCCCTCCGCCCTGCACCTCTGACAAGGGGAAACCACGTCGGAAATTCCGACTTAGCCACTTTTGCTGCCAACACCATATAGACGTTCATTCTAATTGTGTCTTTACAGATGATTTAATTGCCATTAAGCCGGGATCTGTCGACGATGTTGATATGCCAATGTTAACATATTTCAAATTACACTTGCCAACAACCCACTGCCCACAGACAAGTTAATATATATGTTGCCCAATAATATATACTCTTCAAAAAAAGTAGGGGATATTGAAATGCAAATACCTGCTATGCAAGTTGTGATATGATAAATAGTCATGGACACTTGACATGCTTTGAGAGTATGTTCACAGATTAAGAACTTATCGCCCCAACAGAACCACTAAGCTGCACATGCGACACGCAATAGCGCCATACACGTGGGAGGGGGTCATTGTCAAATTTGACACTTCAAGGAAGGGTTGATGAAAACTGCCGCGTGCTGGTTTATCTATCCACGTTTGTTGTCCTATCGGTTCTTGCATAAGATTTACTGTTTAGCGTATCTTTGCTTTAGTGTGTTCCATTCAATTTGATCGGGAGACGTTTTCGTCGACGTCAACGTCAACCGACAACACAGCAAGAATTTGCCGTGGCACTGCAAAAGGAGTGGGTAAGATTGCCCCAAATCGTGATTGGACGGTTGATTAGGAACATGCCACGACAAGTTGCTGAATGTCTGAGGATTGGTGGAGCAATTACTCATTACTAAGACATAAATCAAAAACGTCCATTTCACTTTTGACAGTGTATCTCTTTGCGAGTGAAATGGGGCCGTCAGATGAGCCGCCCATATGAACTGTTTAGCGTATCTTTGCTTTAGTGTGTTCCATTCAATTTGATCGGGAGACGTTTTCGTCGACGTCAACGTCAACCGACAACACAGCAAGAATTTGCCGTGGCACTGCAAAAGGAGTGGGTCAGATTGCCCCAAATCGTGATTGGACGGTTGATTAGGAACATGCCACGACAAGTTGCTGAATGTCTGAGGATTGGTGGAGCAATTACTCATTACTAAGACATAAATCAAAAACGTCCATTTCACTTTTGACAGTGTATCTCTTTGCGAGTGAAATGGGGCCGTCAGATAAGCCGCCCATATGAACTGTTTATGTTCATGTGTAGGCAAATGGCCTGTTATTAACATACACTGGTTACCTCTAATAAAAACAGCAGTGCATTTCCGCAGTTTTGTATTGTTTCTGAATATCCCCTACTTTTTTTGAAGAGTATATATATATTTAAAATTTAGTATTACGATGATCGTAAGATCAATGAAGACATCATATAAAAACGAGGGAGCCACAGTGGCTAGGTGGTTAAGACGCTGGCTCGCTAGCCTGGAGGTCGGGTGTTCGATCCCTGCATTAGCCGAGAAAGTTCATCCAGATTTTCCGACGTGGTTTCCCTATGCCAGTGGTGCAGAACGGAGGTCCTGACAAGGACAGCTGTCTAGTCCTTCGGATGAGACGAAAAACCGAGGTCCCGTGTATACATTGGAATGCACGTAAAAGAATCCCTTGCCAGTTGGAATTCGATATAAGAGTAGGCGATAGTGCCGCTCCCCGGGCAAAATTTCCCTTATAGCACACTGTATGGTGTATGCCCGTCTTTATTAGCCCAGTATAGGAGCATAACAGTAGGGCGTTAAACCCCATTTCATTTCATATGAAAACGAATGCAGCCAGAAATGCATGGACTGGCAGAAAAGTTGGAGAATAAATTATGTCGAATTCACCAATTACTATAGGTATACTCGTTTAATGACGATAATTCCCGCATGGTCAAATAAAATTAGAACGGATTACATTTATCCGGAGTCCTGGACGGTAATCATGTTACCCTTTTCCACTGTGAATATATCGTTTAAATATTCGATCTAATTGTATATCAATGGAACGTCAACTCTGTTAACGATGCGTGCCAAGACGTTATCTTTAATATCTTAGATAAAGTGGACCCAAGTTCGTCAACTAGAGTGGGATCGAACTATGTAGAATGGTGGCGGTGTAATATAGAAACTTACTGATAAGAAAAGCTAGATTACGATCGAATTAACCAGATAAGATATTTACCATTTATTGAAGTCTAATCAATTCGGACAGAAGTTTAATTCATTTGACCAGTATCGAAATGTTGAAATTTCTGCTAGCCGCTACCTTTCTTCTTAACGGAGCATTTGGAGCAAATAAACTTAATTTAGTAGAATATTTGTCCCAGAATCAACAGTATTCGACACTGGTGAGTCTGGTGAAGGAGGCTGGTTTAGTTGATACTCTAACAAACATCCGTAAGTATAAAATGTATTTTAGACACGTGGCACTTTTAAGTCACACCGGATTCGAAATCCTTTATTGCTTGTTCTGGTGGATCGCTGAATGTCATGTCCAGGATATTTCTACAAAGAAAGTGCTCATCATAATGTCCTGCCATATTCATTTTAAACGTTTGGTCTCAATTTTACCTGTTCTGGAAATTGGTTGTCCTTTTTAAAAGTATAACAAACATGAACGCAGACGCTTTTATTTTCTAAACATTATTCAATTAATACACCTAATATCATTGATGATGTTGGGGAAATATTATTTTCAAGATTCGCAACATCTTCAATGTTATCATTAGTAGTGGTCATATGCCATGACTTTGCCTGTATGGAAACTGGCATTCTTTTAGAAAAGGAAAACATTCATTATCTATGGAGGCAATATTTTCAGGATTTGCCACTTTGTTTGCTCCAACAAATGCTGCCTTCGCTAAAGTTCCAGCTTCGGTACTCGCCGAGTTAAAAAATGACACCCAGGCGTTGACCAATGTTCTTCTGAATCATCTAACAAACTTCACCATTGTCTCTCCTGCTATACAGAACAACGAGAGAGTTGCCAATTTGATCGGCGGAAATTTAATATTCAACGTTGGGGTACGTTATTAGTTTAGTAATAACAATTGTAACATCATAAAATATGAAGAGTTGGACAGAAAATCTGTCGGCAGGTTAAGTCCTTCATTAATTCTGTAAAATTAAGCTGTTATTCTAGCCATCCCGTAATATTTCAGATTCATATAAATTTGCAAGAGTTTTAGGTTTAATAATTCATGCACAAACTTAGGCACATACGCCAAACATTTGAGAACATACCAAGTCTCCTTGGTTGATAGCAACCATTCTAAAACATTGCTCGTCTTTAGTCTACCACATCCCAACTAAGCAACTCTTTTCGTTTCAACATATCTGAGCTCTTTAGGTTCATCTAAATACCCCAATACACTTCGAATGCTTCAAAAGCCTTCCATGTCCTCTTCGGTATGGGAACCTAGCGTGTTGTTAAGCATTCACAAGTATTCTCAGGTATTGCTTGCCTTTATTTAGTCTACCACATCCACGTTTAATTTGCTTTAGCATTTATTGATCCCCTGTGGTTACTTTTAATGATGAATACAGATGTTGATATAATATGTCTTGTAGCTATGATGTTAGTGGTGTAGGTGTAGCTATATCCAAAGCCGTATTTAGATGAAGCGAGGTCCTGAGCTGTTCCACATATGAGCCCCCCCCCCCACTCTTCCGACTAGAAGGAGATGAAAGTGTGTTTTAAATACAATTTAGCAATACAGAGGTTGGTGACGAATGTTTAATACACCGTGCGTGTAAGGAAGTGCCAAAATAGTGTACACCTTGGTAAGCGTCAGCCTGCCAAGACCACAGGTAAATCTGGCACTGGCTATATCTGTGCTGATGCTATTAGTTTTGTTGTTACTGGTGTAGAGATGTATGTCTGAAAATGATACTATTATATTTCAGCCTTCAGATAGTGTAACTGTTAATGGTGTTGCTATATCTGATACTGATGCTATTGTATCTAATGGTGTTATACATACAATAGATGGTGTTTTATTACCAGCTGATGGGGATATATTAAACTACCTTGCTCAACATGATGATGAATTCGCCGATTTATTTGCAGCCATCATTGTAGCTAATCTAGAAGATGCATTGAGAGGTAGGTACTAAAGTTAATTTAAACATAAGTAAATTAGATTTTAATCAGAATATCTCTTAATTTATATTAATGGCTCGTTTATTTTCAGCTGGAGTTTTTACACTCTTTGCACCAAATGATAAAGCTTTTGCTGGAGTCCTTCCACAGTTACCTGGAACAAATATACAAGGTAAAGTTTTAAATCGTGTATGTAACTTAAATGTTAAATTTAACAGGTAAATAATTTATATGTAATTTCATTCCTATCACGCTGGTTCATGATTATTCATAGCTTAGATGTACATTTGTACATTGTAGGTGTGACATATCCTTGCTATGTTTATCTTAAGTTATGATGCATGTCGTAGCTGGATTGTAGGTTCGAAATTGACTGTGGTGATGAGCTGTAGGTCACAGGCCGGTCTTCTATGCAATGTTTTAGTCCGAACGAGCAGGAAATAGTACTTTAGTTATGTTAAATATTATTACTCAGCTTTACAAATAAAAATATTTTTTCTTTTTTCTCGTGGTGTTTGTAAACACAGGATTGTGAAATCTGTCGGGATAAAAATTCATTCTTAATTAATTATTTCCTGCTATCATTTAAACCGCAGATAAACAAAACAAAACAAAGTGGTTCTCCGTCTAGTGACAGGAGGAGCGCATCACACATCAACAAAACTCACAAGGCAAACCCGCAGACAATGTACACAGACATTGCATGTTTTGGGCGCATTCTTCACCCTGTCCGCGCAGATTTGACCATGAGCGCGCCGATTGTAATCCGCGCGTATGAAACCGGTGCGTAGGTCGTCAACTCTTGCGCTGATTATTCTGCGCTGTTTTTAAACATGGAATTAATGTGTCAGACGTCCCATGTAGGATCTGTCCTCTATCGATTTTGTACTGTAATGATTTTTCAAATAATTTTCAAAATCACTGCATAATTAGCGTGTGTCGTGTGCTAAGAATAAGATTTAAATTCGAGTTCGCAATATCCGCTATTTATATACGTCAACTGATCACGTGACTGAATGTCCAAAGATATTTACTGTAATTACCGTTAACATCAGTGTTAATTTTGTATAAACAAAAGGTTGACAGATTTTTAAATATTTATCAATGTACGTGGTTTCTTCCTTTAAGGTAATCAACTGTGCGATCACACTTTTCTTTCGGCATCGCCTTGCCTTACGGTCACAAAATTCATTAAAACGAATAAAACTAACGCAGTGATCCATGGTGAATACCGGGTAAGATTAGGGGGATTATCACCGCGGTAATCCATTAAACATCCTTGACAGACTGAACTCCGCGCGCGCAGATTAGTCAAAAGAGATTCGCGCATGTGCAGGAGTAATCTGTCCGCGAGATGAAATCAGCGCTCAACACATGCAACAAATAACAAACGTATAATTATATGAAATAAAGTGAATGAATCCCACTGTGCTGTAAGTACGAAACTACCACTCGAAAACTAAATAATTTTAGCTCTGTCACTTTTTTCCTAGGTAGTATGTCTCTGTTCACAATTTCGATGTGCGTTATACAACCCGGGCGGGGGTTCGTGGCCGAATGGTTAGCGCGTGCGCGTTGCGGCATAAGGTATGTCATTGAGTCAAGTGGTTGGTTTCGGTTTGCCGTTGTACGTGACAATGAGTTGGGCCATCTGTCCAACCTTGTGTTTTCTTGGGTCCTCCGGTTTGCTCCCACTGCTGAAGACCCCAACGCGCAAGCGATTATTGAAATAAAATTGAACCATAATATGTTAGTCCCGAAATGACGTAGTTTAGTGGTATCAATATTGACGGTTTTGTCTGTAATTGAAATAATACGAGAATTTTCGTTTACGGTAACATTCCATTCCTAAATTTGGAATATTGGTTAAGCATCGGTCACTAACTCCTGACCTCCGGTCTGCCCAGACGTGCGTTTCATAATGGCGAATCAATTAAAACGAATCTTAGTGGTATCAACTGTGACAGTTTTGTCCGTTTATTGGAGTACAGCAAGAATTTTCGTTTAAGCCAACATTCCATTCCTAGATTTGTAATATTATTGGCTGAGCACAGGCCACGAATCCGTAACCGCCGGTGAACTTCATAATAGCGGATCATGTGTTTTTGGATCGCTAAATTCTACATGAAACTAGTGTTGGATTATTATAAATTTGTGTCGGATGTGGCAAGAAATGATTACTTTTGGCGAACAAAGAAGAATCGACGGTTAGGATTCCAAAATAGCCTTAGAACTGAAGTGGGGAAAAGCCATGCAAACTAACAATAAGGGAAATAATCTACGAAAAAGGGGGAATATTAGAGGGGGGGGGGCTGTATGCAAGCCTGGCCGTTCCCCGTGTCTCGGATTCCCCCTTGTGACAAAGAACAAAACAAAACGCCAAATATTAGTCCTGAAATTATATATAGTTGATCAAGGCAATGCTCCATTGAGTCCATCTAGAATCCAATTCAGGGCGTCAGAATTCAATCATATGTGCTTATAACATACAAAGGGTATTTTCATTTAGCTATTGTTTATTTGTAGATATATTGAAGTATCATGTAGTAGTAGGTAATATTTATTCATCCGCTTTATCTGATGGACAGAAAGTAACAACTCTAAATGGTAAAGACATCACAGTCAGTATTAAGAATAATGGTAAGAATTGAAATTTATAATATGGCTTGATAGTAAACGTTTTCTCGCATTATAGTACCAAAAAACAAGTACAAACACCAAAGTTCATCTTTCAAAGAGCTGTTTTGGTCATCTCAAACCGTTGACTTAAGGTCCGTTCATACTACATCCGTATCTGTAAATACGTGCGTGAATACGTACTGGTATACTTTAGTTACTTTTAGAGAAGGGGTTCAAATAGAATCCGGCACGTATTGCGCACAAAAACAACTGCGTCCGTTAAGCCGGATTGATTGCTCCCAGAGCGTATTTTTGTAAAGTGCGTCCGGCATTTCGGCTAGTGAGCCGAGCTTTAGCCAATCAGCGAGTACTTTCCCCTTATTACATCATCTCCCCAAATAGAAACTCAATCCATTCCAAGAAAAGCCTGGCCTTGTGTGCTATGGATTTGTGTTGTCTTGTGAAGAACACAACATGGACAAGACAGAGGAAATATTGTCTGAATTTGTCCGGATGAAAATACAATTCTTGAACCAGGTTGTGGTATGCTCCATATTTCTTTCTTCTTTGTAACAGTTCATGGACCCCTACTCTCTTTTTTCTCTTTCGTCTTTGGGTCCACAAATACAAAAGAAAGATTTCCTCTGTGTCACTGTCAGACTCCATGATTGCAAATGACAATATGTTATCTCTGACAGACAATTCATCCTTGAAAGCCGGACGTTTTCGCGTTTTCTATTTGAACGGCAAAACGCGGATACGGATGCGGGTGCGGATACGGATACGTTTATGTATAAGGATGTAGTATGAACCGAGCTTTAGGCACTGCTCTGTGTCTTCATCCATTGTAAAGAAGCGGGCATGATTCCTTTTTTAAGTGCATGAGATAAATGTTAATCCATCATTTTTTGAAGTGCATAAGATAAAATGTTTAGATAATCCAATGTTTTGAAGTGCTTGAGACAAAATGTTTAGTTAGTCTACGATATTTTGAAGTGCGTGAGATAAAAGGTTTAGTAAATCCACCTTAAGCTGAAGTACCTGAGATGAAATGTTTAGTTAATCCAAGTTTTATTGTTTTTTGCAGTTGTTAAAATAAATGGTGCTACTGTGCTTACTGCCGATATCAACACTAACAATGGAGTCATACATGTTATTGATACCGTATTAGTACCTTCAAGTTAATCATTTTACATCTAATAAAATAATCTTTTGTTTACTATTGTTATTAAACGTCATATTAGTTTAGAATAGTCCCCAGGCATTACCATGGTCTACTTCGCGTCTTGCAGGGGTGGGTGGGCGAATGGACTACGTAAAATGCTGAATTGCTTTCCTTTAGAGCCGCATTAGCTAAGAAATTGCGAACCGAGATTTCTAAGCGACTCTACCAGATCGTAATAACATAGGTCGCGGAGATAAACGACGGCTGCGAGGGGCCTGTTATCTTTCTTATTACAATATAAGGGATGTAACCCGAAATTCGCCCTAAAGACTGCATACATAATGCAATGACCCTCCACCTTTTCATCGTACTGTCTTGCCGGCGACGGGCGACTTTCAAACCACGAAAATCGATGGTAAGGCAATAAGACGAAAAGACTAGCCGATATCGGAAAGTGTGTTACGATATTGACGCATTTTTCGAATACTTTTTCGTACCAGGATTATAGGCCATAAAATGAGCAAGACTGAGGTTGGTGACGAGTGTTTAGGTCCACAGGTACATCTAACACGGGCAGGAGCTAACAGTTATTTAGTTTTTTCGCCTGTAACACTAATAAATTTTACGTTACGATATTGTCACTGGATGGTGTATCTTGGGAGTCCCACACAACTCATTCTGGCTATCAAGTCAGTGTTCAGCCAGTATTTAAGACGAAAAGATTGCCGAAATCTAACACATACCCTATACGTTTAATTTCGTTTCTGGCTAACCCGAGAATTTGGTGCTTTGAAAGTCACAATAAAGTAAAATAGAAATTAACACACCGCGATATTAGCGACCTATGATTTTGGCTTGTTGTCGTGCTGGTCTCAACATTCCCGGTCACATTTGAATAGTGCACTTCGCGTTAACAAAATGGTCTAGTATTCAGGGCGATATTAGCGACCTATGATTCTGGCTTGCTGTCGAGTTTCGCCACGGAAGTTGATGTAGTCTTTACATTCCGGAGCAGATTTGAATACACGCAATGATAGTTGAATTTCGTTTACTATGGCTTCATACAGCATGTAAAATATACAAGTTTGCCTAATTGGATATCATTATTTCAAATTATATATATTATCACATGGGTCGGAAACGCTAGAACGAAGCGAATAGCGACGATTCTCGAGAGGGAAAACGGTCTGCCATTTTCTTTTATTAATGCCGTCAAAATGAAATACTCTAAAGTGAACGACGAGTGTGGTTGTAAGCATCTCTTACAATTGAAATTAAAATTTCTATCAGGATTCAGATTCTGGAACAGTTACGGTATCTGAAGTTAAGAATATGCCTATTGTACACGCAAAACGTAAAGAAAAATGGAAAATTGGCAATCCTTGGGCGAGATTTGACGTTTAAATGCTAAAAATATTTACGGTAATTACCGTAAACATCAGTGTTATTTTTGTATAGTTGAAATAATATTTATAACAAAAGGTTGACAGATTTTTAAATATTTATCAAAGTGCAATGTACGTGTTTCTGACTGATCGCTACTGCTTCTTCCTTTACGGTAATCAACTGTGCGATCATACTTTTCTTTCGGTATCGCCTTGCTCTCGTACTTACGGTCACAAAATTCACTAAAACCAATAAAACTAAAGCAGTGATCCATGGTGAATATCGGGTATCTAGGATTAGCAGTGGGTGGGAATCGGAATACTCGGAGAAAACCCACAAGGATCGACCCCACTTCTTGTCATGCAAGCGAGTAATCGAAACCACGCCACTTGACTCAATGACAGACCCTGTGATTTCAAGCACACGAGTTAACCACTGGACCACCCAACCCCCATGTAAAGACGGATTTTGTAAATTACTGTATATTGTATATACTGGTATGGGGTAATTGTTTTATAATAGGCCTACATAATAAATTAAATTGTTATATGTTTTTATTTGATCTGACCAACTCAGTTTTCCAGTATGATTTCATTTTGGTTTTAACAATGCTATTAAATTCCTGGACGCTATATAGTCTTGAAGAGATAGAGTCCCTTGCAGGCCAGATTATCTGCAGATTCATTTGTACTATGCCAATATGGGATGGAATATATACGTGTAAATTCTACGGTTTTATTTTTGTTTCGGAGGGAATAAACACTTGCCCGAATATTCGGAACAATTTCTGGTCTAGATTTTGTTTTGTCATGTATTATTGATTTTATGCTGCTGTAGTAGGACAGGGTTCGGATACAACCAGACAACCAGCCTGTAGTAGGACAGGGTTCGGATACAACCAGACAACCAGCCTGTAGTAGGACAGGGTTCGGATACAACCAGACAACCAGCCTGTAGTAGGACAGGGTTCGGATACAACCAGACAACCAGCCTGTAGTAGGACAGGGTTCGGATACAACCAGACAACCAGCCTGTATTTTATGCTGCTGTAGTAGGACAGGGTTCGGATACAACCAGACAACCAGCCTGTATCTTACATATGATAAGGTTACCCTAACTTGGGAGTTTTAACAAAAACTTCCCCCGGATGAATGATACGCGCCTAGTTTTATAGTCAAAGCATGCACGTGCGCGATTGTTGATTGGCACGCATACACCACGCAAGTAGGCAAATTGATGAGTTGGGCGACTGGTTTGAAAAATTCTTTATGCACATCGGGCGACACTACCACATTCCCCCACCCTTAAGACTGTGTGTGACGTAAAGTGTTTTTTTCTTTACGGAACACCTGTCAAAACAAAAATACAAGTGCATTACAGAAATATATACAAAAATAGTTCTCTATTACAGAAATGGAAGATATATATGAACATTTAATACGGATAATCAGCAAATTCGTCGTCGATAGTTGGGGCGTACAGAATCTCTTATGGTCTGTTCTCCTGTTTGGTACAATTCCAGGGCTATGTCGCGAGCATTCCAATAAGTTAAATGAATAGTTGGTGTAACCATATACATGTAGTCATCGCTCTGTGGTGGAAGTTCTTTTACCCCGTTGTCTTTCTTCTAACGAAGATCTGGGCGTGGAGGGAGGACTTCTTCTGAGTCAATAAAGTTAACATTTGGAAATTTTATTTCCTCAATGTGGAACTTCTCAGACACGCCATGTAGTCGTTTGTGTTGCATGGCCCTACTTCTTTTCCTGGAGCGCCGATGACAAACAGGACAAGCAAAGAGAGTCTTACGTGAACCGAACGCCATGTTCTAGATACTTTCCAATATTTTTAAAATCTACTTGATTACACCCTCGAACTTTACATGCCATGCCCGATTCCGGAAACGGTTGGCTTAAAGAGTTTTGGAACTCGTAAAGTTCCTCTGGATCAACTTGGACCTCGAACTCCATTTTATGTCTGCAAACCGGTCAATAGAATCTTCGCATGATGACGTCAATGGTGCGATCCCGTCCGAAATGACCCCCCACTTTACTAGTATGAATTTCTTTGAATATAACATCACGAACTATCTGTGGGGCAATCAATTGCACTACCGATTCAACATTTTCAGGGGATTCCCATTGGACCCAAAGATCAATGGATTTTTTGTGGTTGTTATAATGGTTGCGCGACGTGGTTCGATTTCAGATTTAACACATGACGCGTGTATCGGCCCTATTATACCGTCCTCGGTTTGAATTTTATATAATTCATCATTTGTCCAATGCATTAACCAGTTACTCCCTGTTTCATCTACCCGAGGTAATACAGCAATAATATACTCTTCACACACAAAAATTAGGGGATGTTTTTATTAGTGTATGTTAACAGACCAATTGCCTACACATGAACATAAACAGTTCATATGGGCGGCTTATCTGATGGCCCCATTTCACTCGCAAAGAGATACACTGTCATAAGTGAAAATGGACGTTTTTGATTTTTGTCTTAATAATGAGTAATTGCTCCACCACTCCCAGACATTCAGCAATTCGTCGTGGCATGCTTCTAATCAACCGTCCAATCACGATTTGGGTCAATCTGACCCACTCCTCTTGCAATGCCACGGCTAATTCTTGCTGGGTTGCCGGTTGACGTTGACGTCGACGAACACGTCTCCCGATCAAATTAAACGTAACACACTAAAGCAAAGATACGCTAAACAGTAAATCTTATGCAAAACCGATAGGAAAGCAAACATGGATAGATAAACCTGCACACGGCAGTTTTCATCAACTCTTCTTTGAAGTGTCAAATTTGACAATGAACCCCTCCCACGTGTATGGCGCTATTGTGTGTCGCATGTGCAGCTCAGTGGTTCTGTTAGGCGAACACGTTCTTAATCTGTGAACATACTCTCATATCGCAACCTGCATAGGTATTTGCATTTCAATATCCCCTACTTTTTTTAAGAGTATATTAGACTTTGCTTCTGACATTATCGGTAATAGATTTCTCATTACATGGTCCGGGCAGTCTCGATTTGTACATTTCCTATACGGTTTTCGTGACAAGACATCAGCGTGTATATGACGCATGCTTTTGCGATTTTGCGATATGCTTTTGCGATAGTAGGTTTATATGATACCATCGCGCCAACATACCTTCGGTTTTGCTCTGCTTGCATCAGTGTCTAAGATAAACATATACGAGTTATTCGGAAACACCAGTACAGGTGGAGATAGAAGAGATTAGAAAGCGGTTTCGCAATTGTCATCCCATCTGGTAAGTCGTGTTAATGGAGAAGCGATTTCTACAAAATTCGTTATAAACTTTTGGTAATAATCGGTTAAACCCCCCAAAAAACTGCGCACTTCCTTTTGATTTTCAGGTCGCGGCCAACAGGAAACAGCGTTTGTCTTCACTGGATCACGTGTAACACCCTGGTCAGTGGTGCAGAACGGAGGGCCTGAAAAGGACAGCTGTATAGTCCTTCGGATGAGACGAAAAACCGAGGTCCCGCACGTAAAAGATCCCTTGGCAGTTGGATTTCGATATAAGAGTAGGCGATAGTGCCGCTGCCCGGGCAAAATTTCCCTCATAGCACACTGTATGGCATATGCCCGTCTTCATTAGCCCAATATAGGAGCAGAACAGTAGGACGTTAAACCCCATTTCATTTCATTTCATTTCCGTTACCTTATGTCCAAGAAAAATAACCTCTTTTGTAAACAACTGACATTTGGACGGTTTGAGCTTTAAATTACGAAGGGCAGATTCGAAATCTTGGCTAAACACGATAACATCATCGATGTAACAATTTTGTTACAGTAATGTTACATTATGTTTTAATGTAACAGTTTGTTTTAATACAAACTCCATTAACCGTTCGAATGTAAGGCCATATGGCATGACTTTAAATTGGAAAAGACCACAGGGGGTGACAACTGCAGTCGCGGGTTTGTCTTGCTCTGACATGGCTATTTGCAAATATCCGCTTGCAAGATCTAATGTACTGGACCACTTTGAACCGGTCAATGTACCCAGAATGTGGTCAATACTAGGAAGCGGGTATGCATCGTGGCGGGTAACCGAATTAACTTTCCTAAAATCTACGCAAAATCTAATGGGTTCATCTTTTTTTACGAACCAGGCAGATAGAAGACCACGGACTATCGCTCGGCTCAAATGTCAATTTTTAGCATTTTGTTAAATTCTAGATCCACCATTTCCTGTTGTGCAAGAGGTATTCTGCGAGGCGAGGTGGGGGGGGGGGGTTATTGGCTTTACATTATCTGCATCAATAAAATGTTCTGTGATTTCAGTTTTTCTCAACTTCCCATCTGGTTTCGTGAATCGATTATCCCGATAGTCACATAATCCTTATCTATTCCCTTTAACGTGTCATTTGGAGTTGTCAATAAAAGGATTTAGATGCGGAGATGTCCTCTTCGGAGAACGGATGACTATCTTCAACAAAAACCTCATTAACATTGTGTACTTACCCTAAAATACTACTAAACAATAATAAACAAAAAAAAACCGTCATAACGATTTCAAAATCATAGAGGCACTTTAATTAAATCATTCTAGAAAACGACTTACTAAATGGATCAAAGCAATTTTTTGTGAACAGTATGCTGACACATTAGTGATTAATTCATCACAATTCCAAGACATTACGAGAAGGTTTAGAGTCTGTACACAGTCTATACATCAGTATCTGGTGTGTCCACCGCAGTGTCTGTACATGGAGTGGACCAGACGATTGGCACCCGGAACCACACGCTCAGAAAATAATGGATCAATCCATCGGCTGTGTTTGATCTCGGTACGACGTTATTAAGTCTCCTCTGAATTTCATCCCAAAGATTTCAGCCGGGTTTAAGTACATAACGTTGACAGCGTTCTGTTGTAGAAAGTCTCAAGTCTCGAGTAACTTTGGCGGTGTGGGCACGGGCGTTGTCATGCTGGAAAACGTTGTTTCGATGACGTGCGAAATGTGGTATGACGTGGGGTCTGAGAGCTTGATCGATGTAGCCCACTGCTGTGATGCCGCCTTCTCTCCCTGGGCCAAGATTTTGGAACACCACAGGACCCACTCAGGATTCCACCCCAAACCATTATGCTTGGACCTCCCCACGAGTCCCGTTCCATGACACACTGGTAAGAATAACGCTGGCCACGTCGACGCCATATTCTGGTCCTGCCATCTGCAGTTGATACCGACTCATCTGTCAACAGAACAGTTCTCCTTTGCCTGTGTCGCCAGTTCTGGTGTTGTTGGGCAACTGTAGACGTTCACGTCAATGGCGAGGGGTGAGGATCGGTCCTCGGTAAGGTCTATAACGGCAATGGATGTTCTCTCTGGTGAGACGTCGGCGCACTGTATCGGTACTGATGGGTCTTCCGTGTGTTCCCACAGTCCGACGTGCTGTCTTAGATGTCTGTGTGAAGGGATTCTCCACGTGGCAGTCTTGGTCTACCAGTTCGGGGTCGATCATCCGTGCTGTTGGTGGCCCGAAAGCGTTGCTGAAGCCTATAAATGGTCCGAACATTGACCTGGAAGTGATTGGCAACGGCTTGGGCAATGTGCCCAGCGTCGAGTCTTCCAAGCGCCTGGTTCCTCTGAGCTGTCGTGAGTCGTAGTATGCTGCTAACGTTGTAGTGTGAATGAACAGCACGTTCAGCACGAATTACATGGAGAACACATTATCATCTCAGGTTGCGTTTTTGAGAACATTTCCTGTGTTTGGGAAGGAGCATTATTGCTCAGCTAAAGTTGGAGATGTGGTCACAATTATACAATAAAAACATTTGGCAAGTTGTATGCAATGCGTCTATTCCTAGTAACATACTATTCATAGTAACATGTTTCTTTTGCTGCTTAGTATATATTGGATAAATGTTTAACACTGTGATCTAATATGGCCGATGTCGTTACAAAAATAGCAACGAAGAGGTGGTCTAGCTTGAGGGTGGTCGCCAAGTTGAATTAAATTCGGACCTATCGTTTCTGCTGACGGTTCGCATCTTTCAATCTATTAATGATTCCACGGCATCCATATTAACTAAACTAGAACTAACGTCCGAGCGCTGAGGGAATAAATTTTATTCTCATTAGTTTTTCCGATTTTATCAATTGGCCCCTCTACAGATTCATATTCAATGGCCAAAGCACTGGCTTGCTCAAGTTTGATTGGGGGACGAAATTGGACGTGTTTCGTTAGGTCATGATGCCCAAAACCCTAAATATACTGGTCAACGACGGGTTTCCCCAAATTAGTATATGGCATTTGCGGATATGCTCTTTGAGCTAACCGCTTCAATTGATAGCCAAATTCAGCGACAGATTCACCTGGGCCACGCTTATGATTTCGATATTCACATTTATAAGCAACCAGGCGTTTTCTTGGATTAAATCTTTGCGAAAGATGTCGGATTATTGCCCAATAACTTCCTAATTCTGCAGGGGTCAAATTACTTAAAACGTTTCTGAGCCTCTCCCCTCAAGCTCATTATCAATTGTTGTGTGATCTGATCCCACCCCGCTACTAGTTCAAAAAATATATTACATAATCATTCCATTCGCTACTCTGTCCGTCGTATTTGTCCGGTTCTTTTTCTCTCCTAGTCGTCGTGTGTCGGTAAATCGAACGCATCCGGTTTGCTGGGGCCCTTGGGCTGCGCTTCATCGCAGTATATGCGAAAGTAAAGGGTGACCTCGGTTGATCAAAGAATTCTGGTGAACGTGTTGCATGTTCTAATATCTCCCGATATTCACCGATCCTCCGATAACCTTCTCGATCAGACGTATCATCAGTATCACCCATAGAAGCTGCTTCCTCTGCAAATGATACCTTATTTCCTGATACCTGCCGTTCTACATTACGATAATTATTTGACATTAAGGGACTACTTTGCGTATACACCACCGATTCTTGGCATTTCGCGGACGCGTATGTAAACGTTTCAGGTGCGTATCTCGGAGAACAACGATTAGAAGTGTTGGGGTCGACCTCTCGTGAATATAATGATTTATTTGTATATCCACCTCCACATTCTCGTAGTTCTTGTTCATTAATCTCAGTCCCCCGTAGATGTTTCCTTGAACGTGTTTAAATTTCTAACAAGTTATTCAATTTAGTTCGCCGAAGTTTAGAACTGTATCAAATTTATGATCTCAGAAATCGCTTGCTCACAACATTTACCGACACAACTGCATCCTGGCAAGTTCGCCGTCGGGTGTGCGTGCGGTTAGGGTTTTGGGGGTTTACGCTAGTTCTGGAGATTCAATTCTAAAATCAAACACGTTGCAATTGATGTGACTGGATAGGTCTACTCGTTTTAGAACACCTGCTATCACTTCCCATTATTTTTCAATGTTTACATAGGTTCTATTGATTTTGCATTGATAAACTAAAATTAAAGATGTTTTAATATGGCTGATTTTATTTACACCAGAATTCGACGGCTCTTTATGTAGAGGGAGCAGCAGTTGGGGCTGCTGTTGGGGCTGCGGTGGGGGCAGCTGTGGTGACAGAAGCTGTAATAGCAGCTACTTGATCACTGACGGAGGCAGGAACCATAACATCTTTGATGGTATGAATAACTCCATTACTGGCAGATATGTCAGTAGTCTGAACTGAAGCAGAATCAACTTCATAACCGACTGAAAGAGAAAGGCATGACAATAAAGTTCGCCTGATATGTAGTGTTTCTTTTTAAGAAAAAGCTTTATGATGAATACAAGCACTGTTCGACTTAGACCAATTAATTTGGCGCAATGGTTATATGAAACGAAATGAATTTGGGTTTAACGCCATACAGTGGACAATCAAATTTAAATAAATGGGGTTTAGCTTTATTATCAAATTTTACCGATCGGTGGCGTACGCCGATATGAGAGTGGAGTCTAAAAATACTTACAGACGAAAAATTTGTGGAGGCGAGCTTTATCAGCTTCATCAAAGGTATGGAGATAGGCACTATGGTATCCAGCAGAGTAGAGTGTTCCGGGCGTAACATGGTAAGTCAAAATGGCTGCAAATTACAAAATAAACAATATACTACTTGTTAGGAACAAATGATTTTCAACATGAAGATGATTACAAATGTAAACGAAAGACATTATTTTGGAATACACTTACTTTTTAAAAGATCTTTATCGGCCAAGATTTTTGAAACAACATCTGCACCAAGCTTATTGAAAGCATCGTTGGTGGGAGCGAAAACTGTGATTGGGTTTTGATCTGGAAAGAAGAATGATATTTGATTACACAACCTGGCAAAAGTAGCGTAGCCATGATTACTAAAGGAATACATAAGGCTTTAAACCAACTAGAACCCCAAATTCCCAATATGGACACCCTTGGGTTTGTTTGCGAATAATAATTGGAGCAAAATAATTGCTACAATTCCAACCATTTCCCTGGAAAGCTGTATCTATGATAACAAATCTACTCTAGCTTGATATAGCTGCAGGAGTAGCCAGGATAGGCGTTTCACGGCCAAATGATTTGGTATCTGATAAATTTCAAGGTTTTTGAAATAAAACCAACAACCCCCCCCCCCCCCAAATCATATCTTTAACACCCCCCCCCCCCCCAGCAAATTGTGTCTTTGAAATAATAAACACCAAACCATGTTGTGACTGAATCACTAAGACTGTGTTCTCCTGTTTGTAAACCAATTTTAGGCCCCGCGAATCTAGAACCAGTGGGTTCATGTCTAACTTTTCGGGTTATAAACCTCGAAAGTGAGAATTCCAACCTATTAACAATACCATTACTTACATGATAAATCCCGGTCCTATTAATCATCGACAATTGGACAAACAGTAAAATTGACCGACAAGGTACGACATTGACATAAAACCAACCCTCTTGTCGGGTCTTGTCTGTGATAAGTAGGGCCAGGGGCGTGGTGACCCATGATTTTGCATGAGGAACAAGATCCTGTCCGGGCCCCAAAAAAAACATTATTTAAAAGAGTGTCTGACCCACGGTATATGTTTGACTCTGGTTGGACATTATAATTATGATTATAATGTTGGAAACCGCATTGAACCCGCGTGATTTTTTGCCATTTGCGAAGGGGGTGCAAAAACTCAAAACCATGGCGTAAAGCTCCTCAATGCGTCCCGCTCACTTAGCCCCTGAGTAGGACCCATAAATCATAATATAAGGGATAATCAAGGACACTGAATTCATAAAACGAAAAGTAAAATTTACTTCATAGTCAGTGGACTTCTTGAATGGGGAGACTATTTAAGTTATATACTCATCACGACCTCTTTCGTCTTTTCGTGTCAAATAATTGCATAAGAAAACCACTCACCGGCAAGGAAGCCATCGAGGCCAGCAGCAGTAACCGCAGCCAACAAGGTACTGAGTTGAGGGTTTGCTTTAACAACATCAACAACAGTTCCAGCTGGTGGAGTAAGAAGACCATTCAATGAATGAACAACACCGTTACTAGCTGTATGGTCAATACGAGACACTTGTACGCCATTGACGGTGGTTGCCTGTGATGCGAAAACAACAATAGAATAAATGAATAAGTCAAAAGGTATTTTGGGAGGTTTGTAAGTTGGAGTGGCCAAACACGAGCTCTTTGGATCATAAGGTCTGCCAAGTTTGGAACCCAGGCTTGTACGTTAAAATGAAATGAAGTGAAATGGGGTTTAACGTCCTACTGTTCTGTTCCTATACTGGGCTAATGAAGACGGGCATACGCCATACAGTGTGCTAGACATTTTTTCATTGCAAATATTTTAATAACTGCATACAGTAGAATCTGTATGAGCAGCCACTCCTATTCAGCGACATCTCCTTGTAAGCGGTCACGATAAATTCCCCCCGTAGAAATTCTGTTGTTTCATCTCTTTATTCAACGGTCACTCCTCTAACGCGGCCAGCGGTCACTATTTTACTAATAAATTCAACAAAACATCGCCCATTCAACGGCCATTGTTGAATGATACCATCTTGTCGTTCTTTGTAGACATTTTTTCATTGCAAATATTTTAATAACTGCATACATGTACATGGATTTTACAAAGAATAGTTTGTAAGTTGTGAAAGAGAGCATTTTGAAATAGTGTCTGAAGATGAAATGTTTTTAATTTCCATGTTAATTATTATTTAAATTACCGTATCACAAATTCTGAAATGGGAGAGAAAAAAATTGAAACCATTTCATTTACACTTTATTTTCCGTAAATATTTTACGATGAAATAATATAAAATCATGTTTTGAAATCAACCATTTATTAATATTATAAACACAGAGAACAAATCTAAACCAAAGTTAATTCAAGTTTTTACGTCATTGTCTATTATTAGCGTAAACAATTCCAACCAAGACTGGCACGAGACGATATCGGGTGTGAGGTTACTATGACGTCAGTGGTCGAACCGCAATATTTGTACGTGAAAAGTTATAGAATCGCCTACCCGGCCACGTGCTTTTGTCATTGAAATAAAATTGTACCATATTAACCCCTCTCTCTCCCTCATTTAAATAAAATTGTACCATATTATGTCGATTTGACGTTAAACTCTCTCTCTCTCTCTCTCTCTCTCTCTCCCTCTGTATAATTTATACTTACTCCCGTTGAGAGGTAATGATTGAGTCTAAGTTTTTGGTTGGAAAGAGTCGTGACCTGTCTTTCGTTGATGAGGATATCAGCAGCTCTTAGATTGTCACCAACAACATGGTATTTGAGAACACCAGCCAACATGGCTTTGTCGGCTTGTAGTGCGGCAGTTACATTTGGGTTGAGGCTACTGATAGCTCTGTTAGTTGGGGCAAAGATGGTGAAGGGACCTGTTGTTAAAAAAGGAATAATATTAATGATAGAATTTCAAGGAGCAGTGGTAATGAGCATTATCAATCCATTACACTTACAAATGTAGATAGCAATAATGGACAGTTTAATTGGTCTACTAAGTGTTTTTTTACATCAAGTACTTACTATATAATATATATATTTGTGTCGATTAAGCTGGTATAATTCATTCCAACCCAAACCACCAGCGCATAAAAATCGCGTGTTTGAATTTCTGGGCCACATAACGAGTCGTAGTACCAGATGCAGTCGATGTGGACCTACCTTTAAGTCGAGGCAGAAACTGTACAGGGTTCAGCGACGTCCACAGATGTGGTCAGAGTGCAAGATGGCCGTGGGAATCAATTTTAAGTGGACATCCAATCAAAAGGGGAAATTAAATTTTGAAAGTATCGCCGATAACTTTGTTATACGTATTGAAAATGTCTTCCTTTCTGAGTAGTATGCCCTATACTCCGTAGCATGCATGCAAGGGGTTGGCACCGGGCATCACAAAAACTCTGCATGTCATTGAAAGCTTAGCAATGGTTAGTGGGCTGATAATGCTCGAGTAACCACATTATATACATCATGCATATGGCTGTTTAATGACTGTTTGCAAGCGTCGTATTCCCATTTCTGGGGGTGGGTTTAGGTTTTCAAAAGAAAATTGAAAGTCGAAGCTAGTCCATGCTAAAAAAAAACGCTGCATTACCTTTTCCTTTAAGAACATCGGTGAGTCCAGCAGATTCGATTAAACTTAATAAAGTTGTGTCTCTCTGTTGCGTCAAAACATCAATAACCGTTGATTGGGCGAAAGCCGCGCTAACACAGACGAGTAGAATAAGGATCTTCATTTTGCCTTCCAACTCAACCAGCTCCAGGATCTCGAGTGGGTATAAAATATGGTACACGATGGAACTGCTGGTCAATCACTTTTCAGATAAGACCACGTGGGTGCTTCTTTCGTTTATCTAAACAAGGTCAAGGTCATCAAGGGACAGAAAAACATCTTTCTGCGTGTGTACTTATCTTTAAAAATTCTTATCTATTTGGATTATACTAAAAGTTGGCATCAGGCTACATTGCGAAATTTCTCATGTATAAATCCCAGGGTTTTGAGGACAACGGTGTAAAAGGGGACACATTGTAGGAGTAAAGGTGTACTTTTAAAACAAGGGGATCGCCCGATTAAAGCATATAGAGAACTACGATAAAGTAACCAAATATTTCGTCATTGTATATCAATCTACCAAGCTTGTGTTAGTTTTATTTATATAAAGGCATCCTAAATCAATCACTAGTACATATAACGAACTTCTATACTCTCTCTCTCTCTCTCTCTCTCTCTCATATTACTTTAGAATAAATAAAAGAGCTACTTCAGCAGGTCAAAGACTGTTCGAACTTTCATTTCTAATAATCACGTTGTAATCTTGAAGTCAAAATAAAAGAACCCTCATGATTGTCATTTTCACATATAGGCTAACGTGAAATGCTATCCCAAACTGCCAAATGTTCCAAATGTTTTATCTTGTTGAACTTTGTATTGGTCCTTCCCTTCATGGTAAAATGATAAGGAATCTCCCGATGTTTCTTTTACTTTTCATAACCTTCATAATCTAGGACGATTTTATCTCCAAGATAAAGATTCGTCAACGTTTTCAAACCTTCGAATGCATTTCGTGTTTGAGCTTTGACTGAGACGGCATGATGTTAGCGAAGATAGTATTGCTCATCGGCGTTGTTGCCTACTGCCATGGCATGCAAAGTTTGGTTGATGTTATTGGTGCCAACAATGGTACCACTTTGGTTAGCTTGATTAAACAAGCCGGTCTAGCAGACGCATTGGCTGGACCAGGTAAGTTGTCTTCTTTCGATTTCGGCTCCATTTTATGCTGATGTTTAGTTTTATGTTGTAAAAGGAGTATAGTTTCAAACTTTAGGTTGTTTTTCTTTAGCTCAATTGACACTGCTACAGAATATAGAACAGAATCAAGATGATGAGTTTAGTCCTGTAGATTCTTCCTATGGAAGACAATTTCTGTTTATTACTAGTCTTCTCTGGGCTTTTTCAAGCAATGAAAAGCCTAGACGAAACGTCGCTTAGTAATAAGCAGTAATTGAGGCCTGCGTATTTCAATTTCATTTACTAAATGCTTTTTAAACAATTTAGATTCTTCCTATGGTCATAATTAGGAATCCCTTTTTAATGGTTCTCCCGATATAATTGGACATCACCCACTTCCCTAGGCGTCAGCAATAAGTGTTTGTTTTAAGCCTGATCCTGTTCATCGCGTGTAGCGTCACTTACAGGAGAAAAATCGATAAAATATTGGGACCTAAAAATTGCCACAATTGGGTGACAGCGTATATAATAATGTAATATGAATGTATATAAACTGATTTACATTCAATCGTTTCTCATTTTACTGTAATTTCTAATCAGTTATGTTAGGCGAAATACGCCAGAAATCTCAACTGAATGGCTATTTCTAGTGGTGTCTGGTTATTCCAGTCTACACCACAAGTATTTGCGCATGCTCTCCAGATAAGAATATAGCGACGCCGTTTGACATGACTTATGGAATATGTCTAGCCTCGTTCTTCGAGTCCCTTGTTATAAATGGCGCTGAAACGCATTACGGTACACGATTCGTGAACTAATGGTAAAATGTTTATTTTGTCTTAAATATTTGATATCAGAAGCCCATCTTTTCCCGGTAAGATCACAACATCAATGTTGATTTAAATTGACAAATAATTCGTGTTTTCAATGTCGAAGACTATGGAAGAATTTTTGAGTGCGTTCACTTGATATTTGTTGTTTATTTCTTGCAATGTCTCTTTAGTTTATCTTTTAAAGTTTATCTTGTATAGTTTGTCTTGTATAGTTCATCTTGTCCGTGGGTTGATTTTATTTGTGTGTAGTGTGGCCCTCTACCTTTAAAGATCTCAACTTTATTTCAGGTCCATTCACCGTCCTAGTACCTGTCGATTCTGCCTTCGCTGCCATCCCTAAAGCCGATGTCGCTGCTCTAACAGCTGACAAAACTGCCCTCGCCAATGTTCTTAAATTCCACGTCATCAGTGGAGAAGAGTTCAGTTTTGATATCGTCAATGGCCGAGTCCTGCCTACTTTGTCTGGACATTCCATAAGATTGTACGAGCAGGGCGGAGTAAGTGAAATTCTATATTTATTTCAATGCATAATGTTTTAACTAACCTAACCCCAATTCTTTTGTCGATTCAAACTTTCCAAATCGATTAAATCGAATGATGTGTATGTCGAATAGAGGTCTGGTTGTATTGATTGGTGCCAATTTGTTTAATACGTTTCAATGATATATCAATTGTGTCAAACTGATATTTTTGCAGAATATTTATTTCAACGATGCCAAAGTTTTGGCTGTTGATATTGAGGCCAGTAATGGTATTGTCTACCTTATTGATAGAGTTTTAGATGTACCAGAAGGAACTATTATGGACATTTTGGACAGTAAATCTCACAATCTCACTCAATTCGCTGCCCTCGTCAGAAAGGCTAGGCTCGATTATCGTCTGAAAGGTTCTGTTAGCAGTAAGTATACAAAACTAATTCTACAGATTTTATGAAACTGTTGTCGGCTTAAAGCTCTTTCAGTTTTACTAATTGATTTTACATAGAGTTATAGGAGTTTATTAAATCATTGGTGGAAGCAATTTGTTAAAGCGTGTACATTTCATCTCTTTGATGTATTCTCTTCCAGTTATGCGCTGCAAATCACCATTGACACATCGATTATTCAAACATTTTCTCGAAGGATAGCCGCGAGAAATCCCCTCCCAAATATCCTGCGTCCAAAACTGTATTAAATGTTTTTATTAGTCGGATACTTTTAAAGGGAACTGTAGAATCAACAGGACGTCTATATGTTTATATATAATATGTTAATTTATGTATTGAATATAGGCAGCTACAAATACACTGTTTTTGCTCCTTCAAATGCTGCCTTTGATAAGCTCCCAGCCAGTGTCAAATCAGCAATCCTCGGCCAATCTTCAATATACGAAAGAGGTTAGTATATTCTAGTCTTTCGGTCTTTCACATAAATTATTAGTAAGAACGACAGACATCGTCCTTCTTGATGCATCAGTAGCACAGTGGCAGTGGGTAGGAAAGGACATGGGTGGGTGATCCATGCCGCATTTAAATAATATGCGTATCAAAACCGTTACATACATGAACACTGTACGTATGACACCTGGAACAACAATAAACTTTATAAAAAGAAAACTTTAGCATAAAATGTGATGCGTGGCTGTGCGTTTGAATCTTACGTTATCTTTAAGACTGCACAGTCTAGTATGGTCTTGAAGTGAGCTGTCGAAGTTGGGTCATTCTCCAGCTATCATTTGCAATGGTATTACATTACAGAGGATCGAATTTAGCCAATATCTCCTTTTCTCAATAATGTAGACAGTGTCATTTTAATTATATTAATGGTTTTGGGGTTTATTTATTATATCAGAGATCGTTGACTACCATATCCATGCTGGAACTATTCATATCAAAAGTTTAGATCATGCTGGACTCGTCTCAACTCTTCTTGGTGGTCATGAGATCAGTGTAACTACTGCTAGTAAGTAAATATTTTATTGCTTAAGATTCCTTCGTAGCCTACATGGAATTTATATGTTCTAGAAAAAAAGAGGACATATTTTCTTTTAAGGAATCAGAATGGTTGACGTTGAATGGTTTCTAATATACACCGATTTATTTCCAAATCTAAAACATTATTCTGAAGTAGATTTTTTTTAAAATATACAGTTGACCGGACTGAACAATACCAGTGAGTCGAGGTGGCTCAGTGAGTTAGGACTGGTTCGCAAACATGGAAGTAAATGAAGTGTCTGTTCAAGCGTTTTAGCTTAATATTGTATATATTGACTTTCAGATAATCAAGTAACATTTAATGGTAAAGGTGTACTAGAAGAATCTGATATTGAAGCTGAAAATGGCGTGGTCCATGTTATTGACCAAGTCTTGATCCCGTCTAACTTAGGAAGCATCATTGGTTAAATCTGTCCCTTTATGAACATACTCCTGTAAAAACACAGCCAGTTTTACAAAAAATAAAACAAAATAATAAAGGAACTTGACTGTTTTGTTTATTGGCCAGTATTCAACCCTTATGTCGCGTTTCGGCTCCGTATCTAGTGTTTTATTTTTAAGTGCTTTAGTTTTTTTTAGTTACAATATAAGAGATCAAAGTTCGAATTTTTTGCAAGTAAAACGGTAGGGCTACGTAAACAGTAGCTAGAGTTCTTCATACGCATAGGGGGTCAATCTCAGTTGGGGGGCTGAAGCTTTTTGCCTGTCACCCGAATTTTCAGAATGAATCAATCATTAACTTAAACAAATTTTCCATCAATCTGTGATAGTGGTTCATTTATAATTAATTACACAACAATATAAATTTACAATGTTTCCCATTCTCTGATGTTTGTGACTGAAAATTGGAAATGCATTGCCAGAAAAATACATTGCTGCAGCCCAGTCACCCCCTCCCCCACGCCTATGGAGAACCTAATAACAAGCAGTGAAAAAGAACAATGACAAATGTAACACAAAATAAAAGATTTATACAAAATTAAACAGTTGGGGCTGTTGAAAAGTAGGCTATTCCAGAAGGCAAAGAAAATGGGGTAAATGAATTATTGGGTGTTTTAAAATAGGTACCGTATGAAAATGATAAACTAACTAGTTTGGTTACCAATACACAGGGAATCGAGTCAAACATGGTACCAGCTTGTCCAAATGAAACATTTGTCAACTTGTCCAAGTTTGAATTGGATGTATCTGGTTATTCGATTTTGTATAATTGAAGTAAGATGAACATATTGAATGTGTACTTTTGAGAACCTTCATATTTGGAATTGGCAAAAAAGTGTGTGTAAACGGTATTGTCGAGGGCTAAATCATATTAGGCATACTGTTACTGATTTTGTCAAATTAAATAACAATCAGGGCCCAGTTGTTCAACTTGTGGTTAAATTTAACGATGTGGTTAAATAATTTAACGACATCGTTATATTTAACGACTGAAGAAGTCTGTTGTTCATCGTGTCGTTAAATTTAACGCATGGTTATGTCATCGTTAAAATGGTCCATATTTAACCCACCTAGCAGGGCATCGTTAAATAATTAACCTGTCGTTAAATCAGTCAAGGTGACTGTCAGACAAGTTCTCATGGTCATGTTTCCCACTTTAAACATGAAAAAAGAAGGAAATGAAATGAAACCGTTTAACATCCTACCTTTCTGCCCCGACTGCGCAAATAAAAGGGAAATTTTGCCCGGACAGCAGTGCTACGGCCTACTCTGATATTGAATTCAAACTGCCAAGGGATCTTTTACGTGCATGCCAATGTGTACACAGGACCTTCCCAGGTCCTCTGTCCTACACGCCGAAAAATCATGATGAACTTTCTTAGCCAACACCGGGAGCGAACCTGTGACTTCCAGGCTAGCAAGCCAGCAGGCTAGCGTCTCCCGAAAAGAATGTATACAGGGGCACCTTTAATAAGTTCAAGTTAAAAAGATTCCTTCTGAGTTAACATCATGATACATGCTTGAAGAAAAAGTCATTTACCAATATATGTAATCGTCTTGACATTCACCTAAAAAACGCAACTAATAACCAAAGAAGTGAAGCCACAAGTATTCATTGCCATGTGCTTTTATGCAAGTGGGTCCTTTCTCTAAATCAATGACATTGTGCACAAATAGGCCAGTTTCCCCATTGCTAGGTAATCGTGGCCCAATAGCATAAATCAAAGTTCACAAAGATAAGTAATTAATAATTTACATGCATTAGGATTTATTGTCAATATTGATGGTTTGGTACATGAATATTTAGATCTTTTTGATCTCTTGTATAATATAACCTCTGCCTTCTGTAATTCTATGTTAGAATCATGTAACTTCTTTATGAAGGCTATAACGGTATGCAGTCTGTGTGTAAAGTTGAAAGTAGATCTTGGTTCACTTGAAAATAGGCCTAGATGTCATGATACGTCTATGTCCTTTAAATATATAACTCCAGGTATCGTAGCACAAATTTGAAATTTCCTCGGTTCTCATTGAAAGAAAAGTATGGTCGACTGGATAAAAATAACTGTTTCAACAAGGCAAATAACCGCCTATAAATATTGGTGTCTAGGCATACAGATTTTCATGGTCATGGTCAAGGATCTTCGCCACCTCAAAAGTAGGCTAGGGTGACAAAAATCTTCAAGAAATTCTGCAAATGTCCATCACACTATTTTCAAATTTCATCTTATATATCAAAACACATCCCTGAAACACATAAAACAGAAAATTAGTCACAAATTAATTAAAACTATTTGGAGGCCTATCCTAATTAGGCACTGTCTATAGGCCTATATACACAATTTTGTTCCTTTTTTGGGGGGCAGCATCACTAAGCAAATTTTACTAGTTTTTATCTAATTCCGACTACCACCTAATTAATAAAATCATTAGTGACAAGAAAGGACTTAATAAGATGAAAATATGGTTATGGCAGCTGAAATACGCGGCCACGGCAAGTACTAGGTGTACGAAAGTGCATTAGCGCCAAACGCCTCATAATATAATAGGGAATGCCAAAATTGACACTTCATTAATACATTATCTATGTTTACATTCATTGACATCACGTAGCAACCATAATTTTACAGGGCTTTTTGGTGGATGTAAGCCTCGAACAACATTTGTCTGAACGGGAACTAATAAAAATACTGTCCAAAGTCTGCAAATAATACTTTAAAAAGCTAAAAAAACCCAACTTACCACATTTTGCAAGAGGGGAACTTTACAAGCGAAACAATTTTTGTTGTCAAGAGTTACCCTTCTCCAGTCTCGATTAGCAGGCCACAACCATGTCATTAAAGATTGACAGTGCTGCCTAAAAACACCACATGAAGACTAATTTCCCATTCAGCTAAACATCTTTAAACATTAGAAAAATTTTTTTTGCGGATATCAATTGGTTTTTCTTTTGCCCACTCCCCCTGCAGTGTCATCCATCTTGAATTGGTTGCTAGTAAGGAGAATTATGGGATAATTGTTGAATAGTTAAATTTTAACCATACGGTTATCGAATGGTTAAATTTTAACCATATGGTTACATAACAACATCGTTAAATGTAGTTGAACAACACAAATTTAACCACAGGTTATGTAACGATTAGTTAAATATATAACCCATGGTTAAACGTAACCACATGGTTAAATTTAACTAAAAGTTGAACAACCGGCCCCAGAAGTCAGGCCAGATTCGCCAATATGGCCGATGGCTCGTTTGATCCAGATGCCAAGAGCTAGAATCTATTTCAGGTATGAACTTTCCCCTGTAAAAGAAACTATTTAAATGATAAAAATCTAACATTGTTTTGTTTGGCCAAACAAGTTTAATATCTACCCGGGCACAAACTAGGTCATTTCGGGACTAACATATGGTTCAGTTTTATTTTAATACTTTGCTTGTGCAGTGGGAGGAAAGCGCAGGACCGGGAGAAAACCCACAAGCTCGACAAGCGACCCTACTCCTTGTCAGGGGAATTGAAACCACACCAGTTTACTCAATGACAGACCTTATGATACAACACCCCTATGCTACCCATTCAGGCAACCAACCCCCCGCCCCCACTCACATGGACAGATATCATGATCTAAAGCATGCCTGTTAGACGATTCGGCCACCCAAACCCAAGCATTATAACAGAACACCAAATTCAGATTCATGAATCAAAAAATATATCAATTAAATTCTCTTGAAAAAGTAAAAAAAAATGCACAAAAATCCTGGAAGGTCTGTAAATAAAAGTTTTTAATTTTAGTATTAATATATATGTACAATAAGTCAATATATCACAGACAAATAACAAAATCTAGAGAAAACAATAAATATATCTGCTTCAAGAAATCAACATACTGTATTATTGTCAAAATATGTGGGTTTGTTAGCTCATATAAAAACATATGTTGGTTTTTTTTACAAAATAAAATAACTTAAAAAACAAATAGTAGTGATAGTGAGTTAAAATTTTGTTATAAAATAATTGGATTTGATATAAGTTTATTTTATTAAATATTTTACTAAATTGACATTGGTCAATATGATACTAGACAATACATCAGGTTTATGAGTGTATCTGTATGCACATTTTGATCCAGAGTAATGTACACATCAAAATTGGAATGGCTGGCAAGAAACTATGAAATAATAATGTGTTTTGAGAGCATAAACACGATTCCAAAGTTTTTCGTGTGAAAACAATTAAAATAAATTCCTTACACTTAAAAAGAGTAATACAAATATTTCTGGTAAATCTGTGGTTAAAAAAGTAAGTGAAGATTGTCCAGTAGGCAATATGTTGAAATTAGAGCCCAAATACATGTGATTAATGACATTTTTTTCCAAATAGCAATATCGTGACGTTAGAGCTCTAATGTATAATTAATCAATTTCTGTGTTAATCTCGATGATGAAAGGGAATCGTATGTAATTAACAAAACTTTATGTGTCAAACATCCTCGAAATTGTGACCTACCAATTTTTCTGGAAGGGCGTATGTAAGAGTAGCAAGCTGCACTCAAATACTGTTAATAATAATTACATGTGTCCAGAATTGTATATTTTACTCCTTCATATCATTGCCTTTCAAACAAAAACTATGGAAAACACTCGTTAGTAATAGTTGCAGGTGGAAATTTAATTCTGGTGCGGTTTTAATGCTGCAGAAAATATAACTGTTTACAAGTGAATGAAATCTCGGACAAATGGTAGACTAGGTGAATTTTGAATAATTATATTTCAGATTTGATTTATTTTCGAACATGATGTCTTTTATTTTTAGAAAGTATTTCTGCTTCAACTCGGCGCTGTTCATCGGCTTTCTGTCTTAGTTGAATTTCTGATACTTGTTCCAAAAACTGAAATATATATATATATAAAAAATCAAAAAATCATACTGTTGCCAAGTTTTTCTCTGGTTTATTGAAAGTTTGTTTTTTATTTTGAGTGAAGCCTGTATCATTGGAGGCCCGGGGCTGTACAGTGCAGTGGACGCTTACGACTGGCCCCCAGATCCATTCATTTTATTTGATATATATATATATACGTTTATTGTTTACAATGTCTGTAATTTGTGTGTCATGTTTTCTGCAAATTATCTGTGTTTTGTTTGTATATAGTGCGGTCATCCTGGACTTGCTATAACAGACTATCATTATAAATACATATCTTCAATTTCAAAGTTCCAACACCAATGTGTACATGGGACCTCAGTTTTTGTCCTGTACCACTGCAATCTCATTAAAATACATATCTATATCTGTAAAATAGCTTTATTTAACAATGTGATATTGCCGACATATTTCGTTTTGTTTTTTTTGATACTTTCGATGGCCTCCACTTCATGAAGATCGGACTGGTTGTAGTGGGAGGTTGTGCCAGGGGTCATGCGAGCGACTTTTGACCCTATGACGCCAGACAATTGATTAACCAATCAGCATTGATGTTTCCTGTGGGATACCCACAGTTTCGTGCACGACACACCAAGAAATTGGCTAATCCCTCACTTCAACCAAAACGCCGGTAATATAACAACTCTTCCAGATTCTAGTGTAGTAAAGATAAGTAAAACGAAATTTTGGACTATAAAATACGAAACGTAATAGGATCTGTGTTTTAATCAGATTGACACCACTGATAAGGGGAAACCACACCGGGAAAATTCTGATGAACTTTTCCGGGACCTCCAGATTAGCGAGCTAATGTCTTACTGAGTCACCATGGTTCCCAACTATATAAAGATTAGTCCACAGAAATACTTTTTACTTCAGTTATTCCCCCTAGTCATTGAAAACTAGCCTAAGGGACAACATTACATTTTGGGTTACTGTGTTGCTCTTGTCTTCTTACAACCTTTTATTAGACATCATGGAAGATAAAGCTGCTAGTGGGTGTAATTTTTATTGACTGGGATTCCTTGTTTCTAAATATGGTTTCTAATAATAAGTGCAGGAGGACCGCAAGCTAGTAGCTTTTTGTGCATCAAAAGTTCTAAACCATTACAGTAATCAAATATGGTTGATTTTGAAACATTATATGGAAATTATTTACCTCAATTTTTCTCGTTCCTTTTCTATTTATAAAATCCATAAAGGCCTGTGCACCATGCATGGTAGATAAATCTTCATTCTGCAAATAAAACAATAACATTTTAATGCTAATTAATAATAATCATGTAAATTGACAGTATATTTTAAAAATCTATTTACTATACTATTCAAAAAAAGTAGGGGATATTTGATTTTTAAGTGTTATTAAAGTCACCTAATGAAACTGACAAAGAAACAAATGACAAAATGAAATGAAGTTCACATTCATCGATTTATTCCAAATGATCGTTAGACTAAGTAAGGCACAGACTGACCATTATAAGGGTAAAATGATACCCGGGGTCAAACAGCAAAGTTACCACAGCATCACAACCAAGTCAGTAACGGGTAAATCCTCCTCTGTTTGCCAAACAAGCATTGATCCGACGTGGCATACTCCTAATGAGACGTCTAAGGTCATTTTGGTCCAGATTGTCCCATTCCTGTTGCAACGCAGCAGCAAGTTCTTGGACATTGGCAGGACGTTGTTGACGTTGACGTAACCTCTGTCCAAGCATGTCCCAGACATGCTCGATGGGGGAGAGGTCGGGACTCAGTGCTGGCCAAGGTAATGTGGTGATGTTCTGTTGTTGGAGGTAACCTGTAATGATCCTGGCCCTGTGACATCTTGCGTTGTCATCCTGGAAGATGAAACGGCGGCCATGACGTCGTGCGAACGGCACAACATGGCCTGCCAAGATGTTGTCCCGGTAGTACTGGCCTGTAACACGCCCTGCAACAACATGTAAAGCCGTTCTTCCAGCAACAGTGATGCCTCCCCACACCATAACAGAACCACCCCCAAATCGATCATGTCTGATGACGTTAACGTCTTGGAAGCGCTCGTTTCGACGACGCCACACCCTCCTACGTCTGTCCAAAAAATCAACAGTGAACCTTGACTCATCTGAAAACATCACATTGCTCCAGCGTCGATTATCCCAGTGTTGACGATCCCTACACCAACGACGTCTTGTCTGAATGTGATGATCTCTCAAACAAGGGATCACGCGAGGACGTCGGGCGCGAAGGTGACCCCTATGCAGTCGATTCCGAATCGTCTGGCCACTCACTCTCACACCAGTGTCTGTTTGAAGACGAGCGCTGATCTGATTTGCTGTGATGACACGATTTCTCAAGGCCAAGGTATGGATAAATCGATCCTGGGCTTGAGTTGTCGCCCTTGGTCGACCTGAGCGTGGTCTGTCCTGTACAGATTGTGTATCACGGTATCTGGACCATAGCCTGCTTATGACAGACTGAGAAACATTCATCGTCCGCGCCACAACCGCCTGTGTTGTGCCGATCTGTAGCATGCCAAGGGCACGTAACCTTTCATTTTTGGTAAGCCGATGCATATCAAAATTTGTTTTCTGGTCACTAAAACAATTAAACTGATGTTTCCACCCTGGAATTCAATGCCACAATGATTGTAACATTCAAAGTCAGAGTCGTGCAAATCTTGGGTTGGACCCCCATGATGATCCCAAGCATCACCTGCATTCCATGCGGTAGCTATTGGTGCGTTTGGGCGTCACATGTAACTGGAAATGTTTCTTCTGTTAGGTTCTATAGTGACTTTTTTCGTAGTCATTTGCATATTTTAGTATTATGCCCCCAAAATCAAATATCCCCTACTTTTTTTGAATAGTATATTTAGTTTTTTACACAAAGATATGACAAACTGAAAATTCTTGCACACTCTGTATTCTCTGCAGAGATGTATACATAATCTAATGTCACTTATACATGTTGGATAAAAATCTATTGACAGATCTCTATATAATCTCACTGAATATCCAACATATCCAAGAAGACAATGCGAAATGGCTGATTCACAAACGACAAAATAATATTAATAATAAAAAACCTGTGTTGAATGGACTAAGTAAGTGCAAACGACTGTCGTTAAATTTAGACCGTTCGCATATTCCAACGATTAGAAATTACAATTTTTAAAAAAGACCCATATTTGTCTATATTAAGGGTGCAAAGAATAGAGGTATAAGTCCTTTAAAGGGACATTAGATAACAAGCTGACAGTTCTCGCTATAATAGTTAAAAAATAAATAATGAAAACAGAATATACTGAAAATTTCTGTCAAATTGCTTCACTCTAGTCTGAAACTAGATATTAGCGATTCAATTTTAGGGTAACGTTGGTACAATAATAAACAAAGTCTCAATTATCCATTTTTACGTTAAAATTATCCATCAAAAAATGTATTCAAATCCACTAAATATCACAGACTAATGATGGCATCGAGAGTTGATTATGGTCTGGATATGTTAACTAATGTCTAATTAATAATTTAGATAACATTTCAGGCCTAAAGAAAGAACTGCAATAAGCAGATTTAGCTCTTGCATAATGTATGTTTAAATTAGGAGATAAACACCGACTGTTTAGTATTTAGAGGACTGTTATTGTCCATTTGATACCGCTTAAATCATTAGAGGCCGAGATTGCGTAGCGATCGAGCGCCTCTAATGAAAAATTTAAGCGGTATCAAATGGACAATAACAGTCCGATAAATGCTAAACAGGAGGTGTTTATCGATATTGTAGCCCAAAATATTTAACATTTTTCTTGGAATTCTTTCTTTCGCGATAGTTGACGGTCGTTTTTTTGGTTTTAATGTTGTAAATACCAAGGAAAACAATTTTGACGTAATGAAAATATCCGTGACGTAATAAAATAACACTCATTTCCATTCTATTTGGTTCACTAAGCGACTGGTTAATTGTGTCTGTTTGGAAAGGGAAGGGAGGTCACTCTGCGATAATTTTAAAGATCGAAACAGAAATCGTAAGTGTATTTTATGTACTTTTTAAATGATTTTGAACTCCAGCAGTGACTAGGTTCGAAACAAATTGCATATCGTGTTTGATAAATGTCCATACACTTGTGTGACCGTGTAGATATATGCTGTGTAGCGTACGCATGTGGTTGCTATGCTTGTTTACGTTGTCATTTCGACGCTGTGAATGTGATTGTTTTTCTTCGGAAAAAAACATGGCCTATGTATGAAAATTAGTCTCTGTCCTATTCATATCAGTATCAGCCCGACTTGTATATTTTTAAAAATATATTACGATCCATACGGAGTTCAATAAATTGTAGTATTTTTATTCACTTGGTTACCAGTCTGATTATGATAGAATGACCATAGCAACTGTTATTGTCAGACCAGCCTTGAAATTAAATTTACTTATTATGCTTCAAATACACTCACTAACTTTGTTTTTTATGTGTTTCAGGTGAGTGTTTCAATAAGCCAATGGTTGAATTTCATTGTTGATGACATACAAGAAAAAATTCATGAAGATTTCCAAGAATAAAGTTTTGAGGTGTAGAATTTTTGGCCACTGCAAACAGAGTCTAGCACCCAGAAAATATTCATTCGCAGTGAGTCGCCCAGGAAATTTAGAGGACTGTTATACTCATTCGACGCCACTTTTCGACCAATCAGAATTCAAGAAATTTCCATTTTGGGCTACAATAATCAATTTGAGTACATTGCTTAAAAAATGATTGAAATGGATTAACTACTTTAATTCAAATTCTTACCAAATCTTGACTCTTTTTCTTAGCTTCTGACATTTCTTGATTTTTCAGTTCCTTTGGGTCCATCAATGGATCTTCCCAATCTCTTTTTTTCCAGGTTTTAGGTTGTAAATACCAAGAACCATATCGGAACTTTGCCCAACTTGGTTCATAAGCACCGGAGTATTTCTATTCAAAAAGATAAAATTGGAAAAATGTTCAACAATTCTTTAATGATTTAATGAGAACTATCTCCCTTGTCTATGGTGCAGGATGGAGGGCCTGGCAAGGGATACATCCATTCATTCGGATGTTAAGCTAAACTGAGGGCTGTGTACATGTTGGCATTCATGTAAAATAAAGCTTGATAGTAAGCTTTTGAAATGTAGCACTGTTGTCCTACCAGGTATTTCAGGTAAACTTTCTCACCTGTGTTCATTAGCCAAGTTGGTGTAAGGAAAGTAGCACATTGTTAATTTAATCCCATTGCTCATTTCATTTTATAAAAACTGTTAAATAAGATGGGGGAGGGGGGGGGAGAGATGGGAGGTTAAATTTGTAATTTATATTGGCATGAATGAAGATCTAAGTCAAAAAGAAGGTTAATATTTGGATTAAGAATATTTAGATGCAAGGCCAACTATCACTGACTAACTTGGAGTTCCTGATTGAAGCATTAACTTACCCATGGTTTTTGTTTTTCTTCTTCTGCTGGTAGATTTTTAGTGATTTGTACTTGTGCTGGTACCGGTGCTGACATTCGGAGTTCTGGTGGAACATTTGTTAATTCTACTACATGTATAGGAACAGATAACGCTGGCTTGGTCTCATAGCCACTGGCAAATAGACTAGTTATAGTAGATTCTTCTATATTATTACTTTCACCACCAAGATCTGCTACCCATTTACAGAAATCTTTAGTTACTCGGTTTATATGTTCCTCCTACAAAACAAAAACAATTTGAAAATAAAATCATACACATCAAATAGCAAACAAATTAACAACGTGCAGATAACTTAAAATAAATTTGCTAAAAGCATTTCAAAATCTTATATTAAGTGCAGGACTGCACTACACGTGAATAAAACCGAAAAGACAATACTGCGGACAAGACACAGACATTGCAAGCAATAAACAAACAAATATAAAATCAAGTGAATGGATCTAGTGGTGATCTGTAATCATACACTGTACTGTAATATAGAGCAGAGATATGTCAACCCTCAGATCTACCTGTGATGGAGAGCTAGGACGTCTTTCATTCTTTTTCTTGTTATCTTTTTTCTCTTCTTTCCTTGGAAGCCATCTGTATGGATTTCTCATACCATCTTCTTCACTGTTATATAAATAAATATAAATAAATCCATGGATCGTCATTTGGTTTTTTTTTGTAGTATAGCCGGTCGAATATGGAAACTAAATCACAAGCTTACCAAATCCGACGTGTAAAACTATCCCTGCTACACATTCTTTGTTTCTGGCCACAAAGTATGACTGGCATGTATACCATTACAGCTCCCTGATCTTGAACTTAAGTTACTGCAATTTTTTACTTAAAATGTTTGTCTTAGGATAGGTGTATCTGTCCAGCCAAGGCTAGTTCTGGTCTTTTATATCCCCCGATATCTCTTATTAATCAGCTGATTGGTTAATTATGCCCAATGAGGCAAAGAATTAACCAAATATGGAGTATGATGCAAATATCAACAACTGACCATGACTCTCTGAACATGTTACAGATACGTCTAAATAACATCCTGTTTTTAATCAGTGTTTTTGTATATTTTCTTTTTTTTTTAAATTTGAAAGTATAAATGTCGGCTACATAGTTTCTAGCATTGCCTGTAGGAAGAATTTATAATGACTTACTCTGCATCATTCCTGACGCTACTGGGTGGTTCTGTAGATTTAGTTCGAGTATCTCCATCTCTCTCTTTCCCTAAATCACCTTTTATAGAATCTTCTTCATCTGATTCAATATTCATCTCTGGATCCAAAATATCCACCACATCTTCAAATAACTGACAATACAAAAAACAACAACTAATCACTGAGGTTTGGATCTGGATATCTTGTTTTCTAATTCAAATAATAATCTTCTAGATGTGGCTGCAGGAGAGATTCTTGAGAAACCCTTCCAGCAGAATTTAACTGTAAGCAATGGATACAACACACAGCCATGTATAAAATACACCCACTTCAGAGATGGATTTTTTTTTCATTCCCATGTTCAAAACACAGACCATGAAATTAAGCTTTCAGCCATCAAGTACAGCACCATGTTGATAATATTAACACTGATACTCAATGCATGAAGAGAATATCTTACACAACATGCATGGTTATTAAAAGGCTTGATTCATTACCATCAATTGTTCATTACGCTCAAGGAAAGTTCAATTAATAATATTCTCTACAAGCCCATAATGCTTCAGATGAATTATGTATCTTCTAAATGACAGAACATGTGCAATCATTATCCATGTTGACTACATAGAGTACAATGTATGTATTTTCTAAACACAACAGGAATTCTAATAAAGATATAATGGTATTAAATCTTACTTCTGTAGGAACACTTTCTTCTAAATGAGGATATAATGCAAGTGGATGTTGTAATAAACCATATTCTATTTCTTCAATATGTTCTCGTTTCTGTTGTTGTTGTGGTGTGATACGTGAAAAACAAACTTGGTATTTATCGAAACGGTTTTTAACAACAGGGCGTTTTACAGGTTCTATACTTTCACTGCTACCAATAATACATGGTGAAGGACCTTTATTTCCCTGAAAAAAAATCAAATCAACTGACTACAAAACTTGAACTACAGGATAAAGATACATTATGTTAGAGAGAGATAAATGAGGTTTAAAGTCCACTCAACACAAACTAGGTCATTTCGGGACTAACATATGGTTCAATTTGTTTTTTTCAATAATTTGCTTGTGCATAGAGTGGGAGGAAACTGGAGGACCCAGAGAAAATCCACAAGGCTGGACAGATGACCCTACTCCTTGTTACATACAAGCAAGGAATTGAAACCACACCACTGGACTTAATGATCTGACACACATTTGTTAACTATTTAGCCACCAAACCCTTACGCATTATGTAAGATTTAGATAAAGAGCTAACAGTTCTCGCTATGATAGTTTAAAAATAGGTAATAAAAAGGGAAAAATATCAAAAATTTCAATCAAATTACTTCATTCTAAGCAAAGTTATGACTTTTTGAATAAGAGAATAGTCTCGAATTTCACTGCTAATAAACAAAGTCTTTGTAATTCATTTTTAAATTAAATGATTAAAAAAGGACCGTTGTTTTTCAATCTGTTCAAAATCACAGCCATTCGATGGACTAGAGAGTTAATTATAATAATTTATATAACATTTGAGGCCAAAAGAAAGATCTGCAATCGACAGATTTGGCTACATAATGCATCTTTAACAATGTCAAATGTTTCAGCCATGATTAATTTAGGTATAATAAATACAACATAGAAAAACCATAAACTATGGATATTATTTCTAGGCAGTACTATGGGTGTTACAATATGTCACCCATGCACCAAAATAAATATCTCAAAGTAGTGCTCTCAATAGAAGAATACAACCATGATCTGCCTTGGGTTTTGTGATGTAGTCCTAGGTTATTTAAAATGAGATGAAATAAAAATCAGTGAGAAATTTTAAACAGATATTTTTCCCAAACCTACTGGACTGAATTATTTTTAAAATTAGAGAATCCAGCTCAAGATAAACCAGAATCTCTCCACCACTCATGTGACTTGTGTTACATGTGAATAAGGGTTAGAGATCAGGTATGATATAGCTGTCAAAAAAAGATGGTGTCAATATGCTGAAATCACTGAGATTATAACAATATTTATAATATTAGAAACATTTGTACCTTAATAAAAACTTCTTCTCCATTAGCTGGAGGTGGTAAGCCATCTCGATAATCATCTAAACCATCTTTTAAAAACATCCAATCTTTTGCAATAAGACATTTTGATGTTTCTCCTGGTGACAGTGATTTGATATATTTTGTTCTAAGCCGTTCTTTATACCTGAAAAACAATTGAGAACAAAAATTATGAAATATTTCAATAATATTAATTTATATTATTTGAGATTATTTCAGGAGTTAACCTTATAGTGTTTACTAGTTTGTACAAAGTCCAAATTAAGATTTTATCTCTAAACAACAACTGTTTTAATTCTGAAGGGACGATGGATTGGTTTAAAGCATGTGCTTTAGATCATAAGATCTGTCATTGAGTCTGTACGTGACAAGGATCTAGGGTCCTTCGGTTTTCTCCCACTGCAAAAGACCCATACGCACAAGTGAATTAATGAAAAACAGTGAGCCATGTTAGTCCCAAAATGACCTAGTTTGTGTCAAATGGACTTTAAACCCCATTTCTCTATCTTTAATTCTGATATTGGGCTCAGTTCAGTGAAACAATACTACCTGAAATTTTCAGGGATTTTGGTACTGATATGAATTGAATGTCACATAATTTATATAGCTTTAATTAAATGTTATCCTTCACAAACAGGTTGCAGAATATATAATTATGTCCAAAATAATGCACACAGTTAGTGTCTGACTAGTTTTTATATAATATCTCTTTGTCTATTGAACATCAATATTTATTTTTTAATATGTATATAGGCCTCTATTAGTACAAAATTATAAAGATAATACAAACAAAACAGCTTAAAATAAAAAAAAGAATCAACAAACATAAAATTGCAAAATGGAACAACAAAAGAATTGAAATGTAAAAAAAAATCAAGGAACATAAAATTTTAAAATAGAAGATTAAAATAAATGGAATGGGAAAAGATAATGCAAGTTACGTTGTTGGTTTAATCATAGCATAGGTATTAAGAATCATTTTGATGTTGATTGCTTCTAGCAGACTGGTATTGGTAATTTGTATTGATGATTTTTACAGGTATAGAATATTACTCTATGATGGACAAAATCTGCCAATAAAGCAAAGTATTATATGTATAATGAATGCATATGTTTAAGAATGTTAATTGAGTTTTCTAGTGATGACTACATGTATCTTAGAATCTCAATTGTTTAATTTGTTTAAATCTAGAAGTGGTCATTCTTTTCTTGTCATTTACTTATTGCTGATGTGTAGCTGTGGCCATTTTTTGTACCATACCGTATGCATTTTAATTAGTAATCTACATTCAATGCAAGTTCTTAAATCTGATGATAGTTTATCATAACCTACATTTATAAATTATTTTAAACTTTAAATTAAAGTTCATATCTTTTAAAACTGAATTTTTCTAACCAGAATAAGGTTGCCCCATTAATAAATACAGAACCAGAATAAGGTTGCCCCATTAATAAATACAGAACCAGAATAAGGTTGCCCCATAATAAATACAGAACCAGAATAAGGTTGCCCCATAATAAATACAGAACCAGAATAAGGTTGCCCCATAATAAATACAGAACCAGAATAAGGTTGCCCCATAATAAAGATGAAGATAACCTTTAGTTTCCCCATTTGTCATCATCAAATATACGGACAGGTGGCATTTTGTATTGCAATACAAAATAAAAATGGTAAGGTTTATGTAGCCTCTTACCACCCAGCTATTTTTCAGTGCTTGTTACTTGTACTGACGTACTTACATGTACTACATGTAGTTTGAATTTATTTGTACTTATGTCAGTCCACTGACCATATCAGAGTAAGTGGAAAAAATATGAATAATCTTAACTTTTTGCCGCTGTGTGTTCTTCAGGGTGTAAAATTCATTAACTAATCCAATCTAAGTCACTGAACGGCATTAACAAATCCAACATACACAGGAGGTATGTAATCAGTTTAGAATTTGTTAGCATCAAAGAGTGGACAACTAAAATTGTTACCAATAGTACCAAACAGTTTTTCTACATTTTTAAAGTGATGTTTAATCAAATGTGTATACTAATTCTGGACCCGATGGATTTTATCAAATCATGTAATGCTGTGATATTGGTAGGCTAAGGTTTCACTTTTATTTCAATGAGAATTATATATTAATATACATGTATGCACAGAAGTCTGAATTTCTATTCATATACATACACCAATCACTATCAGGCAATCACCATACCCTACACAGGCTACTACTAGACAATAAAATGCAATGCAGTGGAATCATCAATTTTACCTACTAATTGTACTATCGCATCGGGTCGGGTTTATTTTCAACAATCTGTAATGTCAGACAATCTAATTCACTCAGACATATTTTTCTTCAATCTTGAATTTAGTCGTTTTGATTTGCACAAATACTCCCCCAAAAAATGTGACTCCCATTTTTGTGTCTCAATATTTCATTGTTGTTGAAGATTTTGTCTTACTCATTCATTAATTGGTTTTAATCTTAAACCCCTAAGCCTAAACCTAAATTTATAGGTTTTAAAGGAGCTAAATCGCTAATATTTGGGATCTAGAAATTGACACAAATGGGCCGCAACGCATATATTAATGTAATATGAATGTATATAAACTGCTTTACATTCAATCATTTCTGTTTTTACTGTAATTTCTAATCAGTTATGTTCGGCAAAATACGCCAGAAGTCTCAATTGAAGACAATCTTTAGCGTCTGGTTATTCCAGTCTAAACCGATGGTATTTATTGCGCATGCTCTCCAGATAAGAATATAGCGTCACCATTTGACATGACTTGTGGAATATGTCTAGCCGCGTTCTTTGAGTCTCTTGTTACAAATGGCACTGAAACGCATTATGGTACACGATTCGTGTGCCAAAGACAAAATGTTTTTTTCTATCTTGAATATTGGATATCAGAAGCCCATCTTTTCCCTGTAAGATCACAAGACCAATGTTGATTTGAATTGACAAATAATTTGTGTTTTCAATGTCGAAGATTTTTGATGATATTGAGTTAGAGACTTAGATCTAGCTACTTTTATCTTAAATAGCTGACCCTAACCCTAAAATGTAAAATAGGTGGAATGTAAAAGTGATGGAATGTAAAAGTGATGGAAATTATAAAAAGGAGTCAGATCAAACATGATCGCCAAAACGATATCATTATTTATATATATATCAATCATTATCATAGGCCTATCATCGTATCTGGGGGGTTGGATGGCTGAATGGTTAGCGTGCGCGCGCTATATCATAAAGTCTGCCATTGAGTTGACTGGCGTGGTTTCGATTTCCCGGTTGTATGTGGCAAGGAGTAGGGTCGCCTGTCCAACCTCGTGGGTTTTCTCTGGGTCCTCCTGTTTCCTCCCACTGCTAAAGACCCCTACGTGCAAGCGAATTATGTAAATAAAATTAAACCATATGTTTGTCCCGAAATGACCTAGTTTGTGTCGAGTGGACGTTAAACCCCATTTCTCTCTCTCTCTCTCTCTCTCTCTCTCTCTATCATTGTAATTATCTGATACTCAGGCTCAAACAAAAAATCAAATAAACAAACAAAATAGATACAGGGCTACCAAAGCCTATGCGCCGCTCGAAATATGAGAAAATTAGTAAGTAAAATATAGTACCATGGATGATTCCGTATCTTTTTGTCCGTCAAAGTATTAAAAAGAGCAAGGTCGTATTTCTTTTCCGCCAAAGACATTTTTCCGTTCTATTTGTCGGCCATTTGTTTACAACCCAATCACATCAAAGGAAGTTAATACACTAATATGGTGTCCGATTGACAGTTCACGTATGTATCTTCGTAGATTAAATATATTTCAATGTTGTGTTTCAAACTTCATCTCCATATTGACTTTTCTTTGAATATCCATAATTTTCGCCAAAATACATAAATGTTATAATCCGGTAGTTAATACCGTTTCTATGGAAAAATAGTTCGATCATAGGTGGCGCTATGAAATAAACCGGAAATAAACTGTAAGTAGACGGCTCCAGTGCCGTGGACGAAGCAATCCATTATTCAGCAAATTTCATTTTCGTATTGAAAGGTACGTCACTACGTGTATAATATGTGGTGCTCTTTTGTTGAATTATACTCTTAGAACAGGTCTTATATTACCCTACTTTTGTAATGAGGGATTTTTCCTTTTTATTTCTTAATTAAATATTTATCTTATAATTAATAATATAATTTTTGGGAGAACAATTTTAATTTAGTAATTAATAGGCCTACTACTACTACGATACTAATTATACTATAGTAGTACTAGTAGACTAGGCCTACCGTATTTTTTGTATAATATAATATATTGAAATATATTGTATCTAAAATTGATGAAAATTGAAAATATCAGTAATTAACAGCAGTTGTATATGGCATCATTATGGTAGACTAGTGAATAAAACTAATAAAAGACTGACTAATAATGTTACCATAAATAAGATGTACCGTATATGGTCATCATTGACATGATTAGAATCCCTCTGTCTACCATCATATTTCGGTAGCACGACTTTTCGGTCCTGAAACCTTTCGGACTCTACACAAACGACACTTCAGAGTCAGTCTGTTGATTTTTTCCAGACTTCTTAATAACAAGGTTTCGGATAAATATACATAAACAGTACAAATAGAAATTAATTACATTGATGTCGAACGGTAAATTTTACCTGCATGTTATCTTACAAAATCATTTTTGGCTTATTATAAACTGATTTGACAGTTGTGTTCAACCTTTCATTTCAACTTCGAGGATATATTTTGTTGAGTCCGAAAGGACGTCGGTCCAAAACATTGTGAGACCGAAATGTTATGAAAATCCATAATTCTAGTTTGATTATCATAAACCAAGGCTGTGGACAGATAAAACACTAGTGCAAGGATAGTATTTTTTGAATGCACAGCATTTCCACCAGAGGTTTTTAAACCTAAAAGGTTGACTCCTTATAACAGTTTACAGACCTATGTACATGTATTTTAACCCATAAAATTTGGGCTGAGGGTATGTTATTTACACTAACACAGAAATAGATGATGTGTGTTTTCTAATCATTCAGTTATTTTGTCATTCTGTTTATACAGGGATAAAGTTGAAAAGGTGAATTGATGACAGATCATAATTTGTAAAAAAAAAGAAGAGAAATGGCATCTCCCAATATTTTGCCAGAAACAGAATCTATAGGTGCCTGTCTACTACTACTTCAGTCAGAATGCCTGTCACAAGCAGATTTTAAAGCAGCCATTGATTTGGTTATAAAAATATGCAGGTACGAAATCAAGACACAAGATTCCTAACATTCATTTTATTAAGGCCTAATGCAGAAAATTTTAATTCAGGGTAATCAAACAAGGTCAGATAACATTTTGAGGGTATTTTGGATAATTGTTAGTAAATCTTCCTGTAACGGAACTTCTAAGCTGAGTTGGTATTTGTGGTCCAAATGACATCAAGATATATAGGATTCTTGTGCTCAAAGACAAATTGCCAGGTATCCTTTTGTTCAGTTTCACAACAAGTGTAGACCTGAATTAATTTTTGTCTTAAAGATGGGTTCCCAGAAAGGAATTTATCGGGTGGTTATTTCCAATAAAAGTATGGCAATTTTGGTATATATGGAAAGTAGAGATATCCAATCTTGCAAGAAAAATACTGGATTCCCCGAAAAACACTCATGGAGCGTATACAGGACAAAGATGTAAGGGTTCCCCTAATCAACAGCCCGACGATTAAGAATTTCTGCATGCGTGATGTCAAAGGTCACACGCGAACATTGAGTGCTTGATGTACAAGTTGATAAACTTTATGAAGAGTTAGATGTACAACACTTTCTGAGATAAAAATGACAGAAAAAGACGCGGGTAGTGGATAATCCGAGAATTTAATTAGGATTCGATATTTGTAATAAATAGTAAGCGATTAAAGACAACATCGTCTTATGTATGCAATGAATTCTCCTCTGATTTCCAAGACGTGACGTAAACATGACCTGGTTTGATCGAATTTTAATAGCCGGGCATTCCTTCGCAATTACAATGGTTGAGAAGGATTTGAAGCATAATTATGAAAAATTAATTAGTTTGAATATGTTTTTGGTCCATATATACCATTAAATCACCCAGTTTGTACGCGGGAACCCATCTTTAAATATAAGGCAAATAGAAAAAAAATGATCTTTGGAATTTGTACCACAGTGAGTGAGAGAAGGGAGAGACACAGAGAGAGATGACAGCAAACACATTTTGGGTCTAGTTCAATATATCTATTTTTTTCAAGCTGATATATGTTTATTTATGTTTCATTTGATTTGATTTAAGAAATATAGAAGCAAATCCTCAAGAAGAAAAATATAAAAAAATAAAAAAGGACAGCAAATCTTTAAGTAAGAAAATATGGCAGTTTAGTGGTGGACAAGAGTTGATGTTAGCAATAGGATGGGTTGAGGTGAGTAGTAAGGTGCACACCACACAAAATTTACACAAAAACAAATACACGGACAAGACATCATACTCAGAAAAACACAAAGAGACAAACAATTAAAAAAACGTGAATGGATCCGGGCTTTATTAAAGTGACAAAGTTCAAGTTGAGAAAGATCTTTTGTCAAAAAGGGTAAGTAAGAAACTTCATAAAAGAACCCAATGGACAGACACAACGATTTCCAGAAAAAGTTCTCCTTTGTGTGGCGTGCGTCACAGAAATACTGTTTGTTTTAATTATATACCAATGAATAGTAAATATGACATATTATGCTGTTGCCCCAGTTCGTTCGTCCGTCCGTACATTCGATCACATTTGTTTGTAGATGCAGGTCACAATTTTATCCCAAAGATCTCGGTTCTTGTCGATATTGGCATGTATCGGATCGTAACTTAAGGATTATGGCCCCTGATTGTATGAAAAACCACGTTTTTAGCTTGTGGACGCCCGAGAGGTCACAATTTTTATCCAATTAAGATGAAACTTACAGCCCAAAGATCTTGGTTCCTGTAACATCCAGGATAATGGCCCCTGATTGTACGATAAATAGTGGGGTTTTTTTTAGCTTGTTCTCTATCTATCACTTGCAAAATGTGGGCGTATGAATGAATGAACAGGAATTTTCTATATATGATTACAGGTAGATGATAATATAATGTATATAGAAGAGAAAGATTTACCTTCCATTATAAAGTTTTTAGAAGATAAATTAAAGTTAGTATAATCTTATTTATTATTATTATTATAAGTATAATCTCTAAACTATGTCTTCATCCCACAGAGAGGTCTGTGAGAGAATAACATTAGACAATGGATTTAGCAAATTGAATTAGTTGCTTTGAGGAACAACTTATTTTGAATCTCCTTCATACTGCACATTGGGAAGGCTGACTTATTATTTGGTCGTGATTTTTCTGGAAAAGGTTCATTTATTGACAACTTTGTTGTAATCTTTTGTACAGTGAATGGCTTTAAATACCCAGATTGTATGTTTCATATACAGAAAAACATCTGAATATAGATAGGTTCATGATTAAGGGTGTAAGAAAATGCACACTATTTATTACAACCTCAGTGACCGCCCTAGACATTCGCCAATGGCGACAATTATTTTTATTGGCGAATAAATTGATGATACTGGCGAAAAATTTGGCGAATGAATTTTAGAGAGTGTTATTTTGTAAATCTGCTAATATTAAATTTGAAATCGTCTCATTCAACGCTTCTTTCGATCGACTAGATGGAGCGTCTATTTTTAGTACATTAAGTACTCTAGTCTCAATCTTACAAGTTGCAAATCAGTCAATGTTACGCATTAAAACGACCACAAGATCGAGTCTCGAGACTGTAAATCTTACAAGTCGCAAATCAGTCAACGTTGCGCATTAAAACGACCGAAAGATTGAGTCTCGAGACTGTAAAATTACGCCCCTTTTGTGTGGCACTCCAAGTTTTCTTTACTTACGCAGCAAATAAATAAAACGCACAATAATGACAGGTAATACTTTTTCCTTCCTACGACTACCGTTAGTCCAGAATCTACTTCCGTGAGTGAGAGTGTCATCTCGGACGCAAGTCCTTCGTTGGCTTCATCAACATGTGGACAAAAATTAGACCTTAACCGAGACCGTCGAGCTAACCCTCAATGACCTCATGCTTATAAAAATGGATGGACCGGAATGCATAAATTTTGAATTTGTCAGAGCATTTGATCAGTGGTGTCTTAAAAAGAATCGAAGTGTCTTTCCTGTTATGACGATGGAGTAAATTAAATCATGTGACTGTGAAGTACGTCCTATAAACATTTTTTTGTTATCTGCACTCATTCTCTCAATAATGTGAACTTTTGCATGGACAAGGAGATAAAATAATATTCTTGTGTACTACAATATAAGTACATATTAAACATTTATTTTCATTTTTAATTAACAAACATATGAATAAAAATGATATAAAATATTTGGCTAAAACATTCTGAATTGGCTAATAAAATTTTGATTTGGCTAAAAATTTGGCTAAAGGTTTTAAGAGTCTAAGGCGGTCACATATATATGTACACGGGTACATATCATAGTTATGTTTATTCGCCTGTTTTCAAGCAAAATTTTAGTAACACTGTAATTGTAACCTCTAATTGCAAGTATTTTTATATTTCAGAGAAAATGGTTTTGATTCAACAAGTGTTCAGTCTTCTACCAATATACAAGTTAGTAATGGTTGGACAGCTGAAGAGGTAAAAATAGTCATTTCATCTGTAGTAAATTGTGTTAGCCGAGAAAGGTTCATCAGGATTTTCCAGCATAGTTTCCCCTTGTCAGTGGTGCAGGACAGAGGGCCTGACAAGGATAGCTGACTAGTCATTCAGATGGGTGAAAACAAAGGAAGCCCTGTGTACACATTGGTGTGCACGTAAAAAATCCCTTGACAGTTGGAATTCAATATAAGAGTAGGCCATAACACTGCTGTCTGTATAAAATTCCCTCATAGCACACTGTATGGCTTATGCCTGTCTTCATTAGTCCAGTCGGAGCAGAAAAGTAGGAAGTTAAACCCCATTGTATTTCATTTCTGTAGTAAATTTTACTCATAAAATAAATTTCCAATTGCCTTTAACATGCTGCCATTATGTCCTAACACCTAGATGCTTTTCAAGTTCTACATCATGCACCACTGACAAGAGGAAAGCAAACTGGACAATCATGAGGACATTTCTTGGCAAACACCAGGACTGAATCTGGAACCTACTGGTTAGCTAAAATTGTGATCAACTTCAAACAAGTTTTTTAGGGAAAACATTTCAGATGACCATATGTTGTCTGTGAACATCATACCACAATAATTATGTATTTTGTCGAAGAATAGATCTACGTTGAATTTTTGGTTGATTCTTTGCAGATTAGAAAAAAAGAGAAATTATTAGAAATAGAAAAAGAGAAGAGATTAGCATCTATTAAAAGAAAACGAGAAGAAGAAAAAAGAGTAAAGGCACAGGTAAAGTTGTAATAATATAAATTTATCATATAATTACGACTGATCATTCTATTGACAAGTGATCATACTAACTAAAAATAGATACCCTTTACGAAATTCTATAGCTTCATCTTTTTGCCCATCCTCGGTATCTCTAGTAGTAATAACGTTCTGTTCTATTCCACTAAGACTTGGGTTCATTCACAGACTTTTCAGGAATTCAAATTATCTGCCCTTCATCGTAGGTTGATTCTACGAACCAATCAAAAAACAGCTTACATACCGGTCTTAACAGCGTTATTTACATTCCCCACAATAATCTTAGTTGTAATAAATGCGAGTTACGTCCCTTCACCCATTTGATTGGTTGATAAAAATATCACAAGTATGAAGGCCTTAGGGCAGATAATTTGATTATGTGTCTCCCTCGTGAATGGACCCAGGGTGTAGAGGAGTAGAACGGAACGATACCACTGTGGATACCGAGGATGCTTTTTGACTTTGTAAATTTTTTTAACAAAAATTAGATGTGCAATTCAAGAGTGTTATTTAAGGGTATAGTGACATGGCCACAACTTAAATTACAAATTTGCCAAAATCACCAAAACTTGGACTTGAGGATTGTTCAAATATCAATGAAAAGGCCTTTTATTGATAATTTTTATTAAATAAATACTCTAGCTGAGTTTAGAAATGGTAGATTTTATGACTGCGATCCAAATTAAATAGTTGCTGCTCAAAATGGGCATATTGCTACACATAATGCATTAATTAGACAATGTTAAAAAATATAACACAGCACTGTTCTATGTGTTATACTATGTTAAGTCGCTAAATGCCATTCAAAGATTATAACTGCTACAAACGTTTATAAATTTTGCAATTTTTTAATGAAAGAATATAGCAAAAATAAGCTAGGCCTATATGCAAAAAAAAGTAAACTGCACCCTGTACTGTTTCAAGAATGTTTCAGTGCTTACAAGTTTGACATCCAATGCTTTTACATATTAGTTTTATATTGTAGATTGAAGCTGATAGGAATAATATAAATGCTAGAGAATTAAAAGCCTCGGTAAGTTAGATCAAGTAACTTGAAATATATTTTGAGGGCCCTGGTCATATAACTGAAGCATAGTGCACCCTCAATTCCACTGACTTTAAAAAAGCTAAATGATATAGGGTTTAATGTGCAACTGTTCGGCTCCAACTGGGCTAATGAACTCAGACATATGCCATAGTATGGTATGGGTAAATTTTGCCCGGACAGCGGCACTACGGCCTACTCTTATTTCGAATTCCAACTCTCAAAGGATCTTTTACGTGCATGCCAATATGTACAAAGCACCTCGGTTTTCATCCCATCCAAACGACTATACATTGTCCCTTGATTATTTATAACTGTTGTTTCTATTAATTTCTATAGAAAGCTGTAGAAAGGAAGGGAGGTAGTAATGTAAAAAGATTTGCCGATATCGGTGTTGATGTTAATGGCCAAGAGGTAATTATTAAAACTTAAGTTTTGTTTACTGATCTCCAAAAGCAACTTCTTTTATTTAACGATTTATTGAAATGTGGTCACATACTTTTGTCACCGCTGTAATTATACGTAATAGTTATATTCATGATACTAACAAGTCTATTTAGTTTCAATGATGTTTGATAACTTGATCAGTTAAAGCTATCTGATTACCAATACATGTTTTATATAATAAATATTAGCACGAGGAAGAACTAGAAGCCAATCATATTTTAATTATTTCTGATAATTACTTCATGGATTGATTCCCTCGATCAGTTTTTAGTATCTTGTAAATGCTGTATTTACCTACAAAGAATATAAATGTGAGAACCTTTGTAGACTGCTTGTGCGACTTAGCTGCTATGGTTGTTGTTTCATTGCCTGGCAACCTGTTTTGAAGTTAGTAAATCAGTATTTTATTTTGAATATTTTCAGGGTGGATGAGGTTAAAGTTCCCAGCTATAAGCTGGATTATGACCAGGTCTTGGTTTCTCGATGTATCTGATGATAGTTTTTATCTTAAATAGCATAAAGATAATGACTGGATGGTGTTACATCATAGTACAGAAACCAGGAATTAATTCTCATATACCTCATTAACAATTCTTTATATGTTAACTTATTTATATTTGATAATGATATAAAAATTTGTTGTAAGGCCGCACGAATTTGATTTTCAGTTCTTCAAGGTTGGCTGAATTGTTTAACCGGTGTGCATTAGATCGCAAGGTCTGTCAAGTCGTATAGTTTCGAATCCCGCTTGTATGTGACAAGGAGTAGGGTCGTCTGTCAAACCTCGTAAGTTTTCTCTGGGTCCCTTACACACAAGCGAATTATTGAATAACCTGGAATAACCTAGTTTGTGTCAAGTGGAGGTTAAATTCCATTTCTCTCTCTCTTCTGCATCTTGATCAATAAATAGTCTTTTGAATCTTGTGCAAGATGTTTTGTTTTATAAAATTTCAAAACTTAAAAATTTGGAACTAAAAGCTTTTGACAGCACTACGATACACTGTTGGTTTTTAAAATAAGTTTTTTTTCTCAAAGAAATAAGAAGGAATATTTTGTAGGTGTTCGCAAAGAACAAAAAATCAATTTGGTGTGGCCTAAAAGTATTTCATTTATTTCATCAATCATCATCATCTGGAAGAGATTCATTTTGTAGATATCTTTTATGTGTTTGTTGTAATTGTATATTTTTATTGTCATGTAGATTGTATATTATAAAATAAAGGTTTATCTTTTAACATATGTGTATGTGTGAAATAATGTTATTTAATGTCTGGGGAGTCACGATGGCTCAGTGAGTAAGATGCTGGCTTGCTAGCCTGGAGGTCGTGGGTTCGCTCCCGGTGTTGGCTGAGAAAGTTTATCGTAATTTTCTCTTGTCAGCGGTGCAGAATGAAGGGCCTGACAAGGACAGCTGTCTAGTCATTTGGATGGGACGGAAAACCGAGGTCCTGTGTAGGCCTACACATTAGGTGAACATAAAAGATCTCTTGGCAGTTGGAATTCAATACAAGAGTAGATCTTAGGGCCACTGTCCGAGCAAAACAGTAGGACGTTAAACCCCATTTCATTTCATTTATTTAATGTCCGCATCCACAATGTGTATATCTCTTATTTCCACAGTACAGAGAGAGAGGGCTTTAAACATCCATTTGACACATTTCTAATTAAATGAGTCACTTGCATGTAGGGGCCTTTAGCGGTGTGAGGACCCTAAGAAAACCCACAAAGTCGGGCAGACAACCTTACTACTCATCATGAACAAGCATAGGATTAAAACCATGCCATACTCAATAATAGACCTTATGATCTATAGTACATGCATTCAACCACTTTCCCTGCCACCTACCATAATTGTTTGGGTGGAGCTTATTTAAATTTGTTAAAACAAGGATCATCGGCATTATTCGGGGTAGGAGGAGTGACCTCCTAACGGAGTGGATTTTCTTTAACTTCTCTGAAACTGGAGAGGGGCACTGTGTTGCTGACTTGCTTTTTGGAATTATTAACCCCCATTATAGTTGAAGATGCATGTTTATAAATGATATAAAAACAACACAAAGAATGATAATAAATAATTTATATATAATTTGTATCACATACACCATATATATATATATATATATATATCATTGATGACTTTTGTACAATAAATAAATACAACTAATATTGATAAAATATTTAATTAAAGCCATGAGAGGACGGATAATTTAAATAGTGAATAGAATGGTTGCATTGTCTTTGCCATTCGGTATTGGTAGTTCTTTTTTTGTTACTTGGATATGGACAAGACTGCAAATTGAATAAACTTCTTTAGGAAAAATTTCTCATCAATATTAAATATTCAATTTAATTGGAGACAGGATTTAAAATGAATGTATTTAAAGTATGATATGGATTTTGTCCTATGTATTAGACAAGTGTATTAATTACATAATACAATACATAGAAAGGTAAATATAAAATTAGTGAATGACAAGCTTGTAATGTTATTTCTTGGATTTATCTGATTGATTTATTCAGTTCCTTCAGAAGGTGCCAGATAAGGTTGGGTATCAACAATCTTCTGTAGTACATCTTTATTTACTTTCTCACTACACATTGGACAATTTTCTTCACTCTCCAACAAACTGTAAAATAAAGAAAGATAGGTTGCCAGACAATGAAACACATGCCCATAGCAGCTAAGTTGAACAGTCCACAAATGTTGTTTTTATTGGGATTCTTTTATAGTTAATATCCACATCCCATAAAGTAATTACATGTACTTGAAATATACTTTGAAATGTTTACGTTAGTTAGCCCCCACATGTTTTTTTCATAGTTTTTCAAATAAAAAAGGCCAGTAACTCTGACAGTATTTGTTGAAGTGTTAAAAATAGGCACCCTTGTCTCATTAGTCTCATTAACATAAACACAGATCTTAAAAATATTGGAGATTCCTGATGGTAATCTTGGATGGACTAATTGGAGTGATATATATACCCTGAATATTTAGTTAAAATTATTTAAAAGTATGATAAATACCTTGAAAATTCTGTTAAAATCGCTGGAAAATCACATGAAGGACAAGCTGTCAGATCTTCTTTTAAAACATGACGACCCTATAAATAGATATTGAGAAATATAATGTCTTGTACGATTATCATAATATGATCTGTCTTGCCAGAAACAATTTTAGAAGCAAGCAAAAAGTTATTTATGCTGGCCACTTTTTATGTGATAAATTAAAAGAAAATTTGTCTTAATTTTTATTTTAGATCTCAAAAATAAGAAAATACTGGCTTGGAGAGGAATTTGATTGGTAACAAGTGTACATACTGTAGCAATACAATATGGCAGATTGTTTTGACACTCTGGACAGAGTAAATCAGTCTCTGGTAGTTGAAAAGAACAAACAGGACATGATGTCAACGGTTCTTCTTCTTCTGATTTATCAGGTCGTCTGACGATCATTTCAATCTTTTTCTTGTATTTAAAATCTATCTGATCACGATATTCAGGTCTCATTAACATGGCTGCATAACTAAATGAGGAATTTTTCAATCCAGCTCGATGACATTCGATAACAGTTGATGTTAAAATGGGGACGATATCTGTTGAATAAAATAATTTATTTAAAACAAAATATTTCAGTTACTGTAAAACATGAAATTAATGTGACGTGTGGAAATAAATGTGTATTAAACTTGATGCAATCCACTGTTTATAACATTACGACTGGATGGTTCTTTGTTATGTTATCGTCAACAGGGAAAAGCCTTACAAGAAATTAATCATTGTTTGAAAACAATGCCAGATTTACTGATTTTGTAATGTTACTGATTAGAATTACATGCATTTTTACTTGCATTAATTTCTTGCTAGCAACAATTTCTTGTTTAATAGTACATGTTATTTACCTTTTATTCAAATAACAGGTTTTTAGAATGTTACTTAATTTTATATAAATGAAGACAAAATAAATAGAAAAGAAACATTATAAAGTATGTTTTTTTTTACATTTATCAGTCTTGATAAAATCCAACCAATATGTAGCCTAGAATGTTCAAAACTTACGTGATGGAAATTTGCTGATATTATTTGCTACTCTAATCAACATTCTAGCACCTTTCATATGGTCTCCTCTTTTAACATGCATCTAAAAATAGAAGAAAGGAAATTAGAATAAAACTCTAGTATTGTAACTTAATTAATTTGTCTTGTGTGACAGACAACTCCACTCCCTTGTTGTCAAGGAGTCAAACCAGTAGATTATAAATTATGCAAAAACTTAAAGGTAACTAATAAAAATAGAGAAAATACCTTGACAAGAATATAACTGTGTAGAATCATTAAATTTGACTGCATTTCAGCGGGGATTTTAATCTTGTTCTGTTTAAGTTCTTGAAACATACTGAACAGCACATCATGAGCGTTTCTATAGTTACCTATAAAATAAATAACATAAAACATTCACAAATAATTGAAACTTAAAATTAAGAAAAATGAACAATTTAAAAATTGTGTACATTAAATTTGTGGTCTAAGGGGAGATAATATGAAGTCGAGGATATGTGTTAAGAGTTATTTCCCTTATACCAAACATTTATTTTAAAATTCATTTACTTGTGTAGAAAGAAATAATGTAAGCCAAGTTTCTTCTCTTTCTATATCAACATTTAAAAAAAAATTATTTGGAGCAGAGTTCTTACCAGCATTTTGTTCCTCTCTAGCTATGATAATAGCTGTTCTTGCTGCTTCACGGAATTGTTTTAAAGCCATATATAATCGGAACAAATATCTAGCATCCTTAAAAAAATATATGAAATTATCCGTTGACTTAAATAATATTTTCTAAATAACTTCACAGTACACAAATCAGATAGTTTTACTGAAACAGATGGTAAAACTTACTTTAGGCATTCCATCTGTTTCTCCCATCAGATAATCTATTAACTGTCGAGTTAGTTGTTCATCATTAGCACGACCAACTGTTTCTATAGCTAAATCTATAGCTTGAGAATCTTCACTATTACATTTCAGGAAATGTTTCATAGCCTGAAATAAAAATATAGGCAATCTATGTACAACAATCATATAAAAGGAAAAACAGTAAAGAATTGTATACAGTTTTGGGGGGGGGGGGGGGAGTATGGGCCAATATTGAATCCTTAAAAGAGAAACAACACATGTCGGATTAAGATTTTTAAAAGTACAAAAATAAAACCTTCAAAATCAAGTTTTTTTTATGTCAACCCTGACAGTTTTATTACTATTTCTATCATCAATACCTACCTTAGTATATTGTCCACTCAATAAGAAGAATTTACCAGCTAAGAAATTATTTTTCTCATTTTCAAAATAAACAGCAATAGATTGATAATCTTCTGGTGTAGCATCTGGTCCTACAAGTAAATAAAGATACATGTAGGCTTTCAACAAATATTCCAACATATTTCACAAAAAGAAAAAACAGAATTTTCACAGCTTTGGTGATTGCCACTGATTTTTAACAAAGATTTATTTTAGCGATATGGTTAAAATCAGGCATAGGCATGTTCAAAAGACATTATGTGCAAAATTTGAGACAATCATGCTGATCCATAGTAGGCATAAAGATGTTTTTAGCTCAATTTTAGATTTATACCGATTTTATAGTTTCATGGGATTTACTTTATGCTTTAGAAATTGGAGGAAACTGGAGAACCAAATCCACATAGTTATGGAGTCAACCTTACCTATAATATCAGCATACACTTCCATCTGATTATGAGTTTGAGCAAGTTGAAAAGCTTCATCATTACATTTAGACATAACCAGAAACTGTATAGCTGAACCATAGTCATTTAATTTCTGGAAAAATCTGGAAGAATACAACATTAGAAATGAAATCGGGTTTAATATCCTATTTTTGAGTACCAACAGGGCTAATTAAAACAGCCATGCAGTGGGATTTAAGGCTATTATTTTTTTTAATTCTTTAGACATAGTGGAGACAATAAACAATACCTGATCTCTGATATTATGAAACTCTCACTATGAACAGATCCATGGAAATTTACATACAAATATTTTTTGTTCGTTCAGTGTTAAAGTTGACAAAAACATACTTAGCCACCATTTTAGCTCCTTCTACAGATTGTGTTGATCGAACAATCTTTACTGCTTCTTCTGGGTTCTGTAAGTGATCCAAGTTAATTCTGAAAGATATTATTATTACAATTGATGGATAAACATGAAATGAAATGAAATGGGGTTTAACGTCCTACTGTTCTGCTCCTAACCTGGGCTAATGAAGACGGGCATACGCCATACAGTGTGCTATGAGGAAAAATTGCCCGGACAGCGGCACTACGGCCTACTCTTATATCAAATTCCAACTGCCAAGGGATCTTTTACGTGCACGCCAATGTGTACACGGGACCTCGGTTTTTCGTCACATCCGAACGACTAGACAGCTTTCCTTGTCAGCCCCTCCGTCCTGCATCACTGACAAGGGAGAACCATGCCGGTAAATCTGGATGAACTTTCTCGGCCAATGCAGCGATCGTATACCCGACCTCCAGGCTAGCGAGCCAGCGTCTTACCCACTTAGCCACCGTGATCCCCATGGATAAACATAATTTATATACTAATGGTTTTAGAATCCTAATAACACTATCCCATTCTCTAGCTAATTTATGCTAACCTTCAATCATTATCCTATTCCGTAGCTAATCTATGCTAACCTAATAACATTTTCCCATTCTGTAGCTAATTTATATTAACCTAATAACATTATCCCATTCTTTAGCTAGTTTATACTAACCTAATAACATTGTCCCATTCTGTAGCTAGTTTATTCTAACCTAATAACATTGTCCCATTCAGTAGCTAATTTATACTAACCTAATAACATTGTTCCATTCTTTAGCTAATTTATAATAACCTAATAACATGATCCCATTCTGTAGCTAGTTTATAAGCTTCTGCTAATAACATTGTCCCATTCTATAACTAATTTATACTAACCTAATAACATTGTCCCATTCTTTAGCTAGTTTATACTAACCTAATAACATTGTCCCATTCAGTAGCTAATTTATACTAGCCTAACAACATTGTCCCGTTCTTTAGCTAATTTATACTAACCTAATAACATTATCCCATTCTGTAGCTAGTTTATCCTGACCTAATAACATTGTCCCATTCTATAACTAATTTATACTAACCTAATAACATTATCCCATTCTATAACTAATTTATACTAACCTAATAACATTATCCCATTCTGTAGCTAATTTATACTAACCTAATAACGTTATCCCATTCTGTAGCTAATTTATACTAACCTAATAACATTGTCCCATTCTTTAGCTAATTTATAATAACCTAATACTATTGTCCCATTCTGTAGCTAATTTATACTAACCTAATAACATTATCCCATTCTGTAGCTAATTTATATTAACCTAATAACATTATCCCATTCTTTAGCTAGTTTATACTAACCTAAAAACATTGTCCCATTCTGTAACTAATTTATACTAACCTAATAACATTGTCCCATTCTAGAACTAATTTATACTAACCTAATAACATTGTCCCATTCTTTAGCTAGTTTATACTAACCTAATAACATTGTCCCATTCTTTAGCTAGTTTATACTAACCTAATAACATTATCCCATTCTTTAGCTAGTTTATACTAACCTAATAACATTGTCCCATTCTTTAGCTAGTTTATAAGCTTCTGCTGCATCTTTATATCTTCCGTCTGCTTCTTTAGCTTTAGCGTACTGAGCATGTATTTTAGGTGATGTAATATTCTGTAATAACTCACCTACTTTATTCCTAAAAATAAATTGACATGAAATTATTCTGATTCCTTTACTTGATGTATTATTAATCATACCTGTGAATCACTTCAGATTTCACATCATATTTTACAGGTGTTTAATTTGTCTGTATATATTGTATGAGATGTAATTCTGCCATAACTTCTATCAGACTCTTGTCTGCGATATCACTTTATTGTGGAATCAGATTTTAAATAAACTTATTTCACACACATCAGACACGTTCATGAACAGATCTTAATTTCATCTTGTGGTATAAAATGCATGAGTCTACAGCAGCATTTAATAAGAAAATATAATTTGTATAACTCTTACATGAATTATGACCAATATGTACCTACCAGTTTTTACTACGTATATAAACAGACGCTGCTTTATCATAGAAATGACCTTGTTCATATAACATGGCTGCCTCCGACCATTGCTGAAACATATAACAATGATAATTTAAAAACCAAGAATATAACAAATACAAAAGAAACCCTGTACCGTGCAGACAAGACTGAATCTCAGTTGGATATAACAGGAAATAATCCTCCACCAATAATCCAATGGTAATAATTCCCAGTTGATAAAGTTTCTTACCTTCATACTTTCTAATATACCAGCACACTCTTTCTTTAAACTTTTGCTCGGCATCTTCATAGCCATGGCAGCTCCTCTATAGTTAATATAAATATAAAATATAAATGAAGAAGCATGTTTGGAGTGCTTAATCGGGTTAAATAACTCAAATGATTCTGTTGCATGAGGGACTTTATAATCATAACAATCGCTTACCTGGGGCCTGTTTCACGAAATTTTAACTAAGATAAAATCCAAATTTTAGTAATTTGATTGGATAATATTAGATTGATTTTAGTGCTTAGCCAATCAAAATTGAAGTATCTACTAAAATTTGGATTTTATCTTTAGTTAAGATTTTGAGAAACAGGGCCCAGTGTAATAAGTATTTAGACATGGTTATCCAGGCACTTAAACCATAAACATCATGATCAGATTTAGCAACAATAAATACCTTCTTATATCTCCCATTCTAATAGACATCCTGGCAATACCAGCAGCACATACTTCATCATGATCTCTCTCTTTCTCATCTTTAGTTACACCTTTCTCATAATGTGATAACGCATTCATATAATCCCCAGTAAATTCTAACTGTTGAGCGTATTCCCGGGATATATAAGGTATCTGTTCTGGTGCCAGTACCTTAGCTAACTGTAGAGCACTATCCCAGTGATGTAAATCTCGTCTCATCTATAGCAATCATAAAGATTAATTTAATACAATTCTATTAAATCTTAGCAATAAATAACTGACCTATACTTTCGAAGCATTTGTTGTTCATAAAGAAAGAGAGAGAGAGAGAGGAGTGATGGGGGTTTTAAGTCCACTCGAAACAAACTAGGTCATTTTGGGACTAACATATGGTTCAATTTACTTTCAATAATTCGCTTGCATGTAGGGGTATTTACCAGTGGGGGGAAAGCAGAGGACCCAGAGAAAACCCATGAGGTTGGAGATGCGACTCTGCCCCTTATCACATACAAGTGGGGAAATCAAACAACACCTCTTGACTCAACCTCCTGTTTTTCATAAAGAGGACAATTATGTTCAGTAAATCAAAAATCGATCATCACAACAATTAGAAGAATGAAAGAGAGAGAAATGAACTCAAAGGATTCAACATCAATTAGAACGTTTCGAGGCTAACATGTATATCTTTATTTCAATAATTCTCTTGTGTGTAGCACTATCGTCATTGCGACATTGTTTTTAAATTTATATATATATATAAAATATGTAGAAGCAAACTGTCGCATTGTTATTCCTGGTCAGACAGACGTCTTAAGAAACTGTAAGAAGTAAATACACAACGTGAAGCAGAAGTAAAGACAGCTAGAGACAAATTCTAGACAATCACAAGGCTACGGAAATATGTAGTAAGAAAAGATGCATGGGTCGTATGTAGGATGTGGCGACCGGTTTCCTCGTCCGCTCTCCACGTCAGACAAAAGAACCATGGTGCTACATATTCGATTTGGTGCACGTGACTACGCGATCGAGTACCCTGGAAGAAGATTAGAAGACAAGAGAGTAAGCATCACATATTTTCCACATCTAACCAGTGACTGTATAGCACTGCATAGTCTTACATATTCGATTTGGTGCCGTAACGAAGTTTCGACCTTTGGGGTAAGAAGTCACTTTAGAAGACGAATACATATTTGAAGACGTTAAGAAGAAAACCTATACAATCCAGCAACAGAAAAAGTCTGGTGGAAAAAATAGAAATCTTGTGAAGATATTCGAAAAATTGGGTAAATACATTTTTTCTGGAAAATTGAATTTGTTAAATTTGTTTAAAGACCAAATAATATTAATTCAAAGTTAAAATTGATTAGAAACTAAGTATTTAAAATTTAACTGTATAGAGAATAAATTAGAGTCATTCATAAGTTTAGATTGATAGGTTTATTAAACAAAATAATATCACTGGTTAGGTGTGTATATTATCAGGTTAACATGACCTGTAGTAAATTTGAGTAAAATTAAAGTTAAAGAGAAAGATTAGGGAGTAGGTTTTAAAAAAACTGTTTTGATATAACTAAGGAATAATAATGATAAGGAAACGGAATAGGGAATAAAGTAAGGAACTAATGTTGTGTCCGGGTCGCAGTGGAAAGATGGCAGAGCTAAGGATGATGTTTGTGAGTGATTAACTCTAGTTTCCTAGTTGGCCGTGCTTTCTACTGTGATTCGTTAATTTGTGTTTTTTGTTGTTTCGTATACTATATAATTTTAAGGCCCTTAGTCCAGGCCTTAGAGTTGTTGTAATTTAACTTTTGATTAAAAAGTTAGGTTATGTTAAAAATCCCATATAATTAAAAATAGGGATGTTGGTTATAGTTTTCCTGGGAAAAACTAAAATTATTGGCTCGTTAAATTGTGAGATTATCACAAAGTCATTAATACGAGTTTTATAGGAGGTTAAAGTTAAGAATGCGACACTTTTTTAGAAAAGTGGAGTATACGGTAGATTTTGTCCGTATATAATTTTATGTAATTAAATTTTTGCTTAGAAACGTAATATTAACGTTTAATATATACTGCTAATTGCTTTAAGCTGTCGACATGTACGCAATGATTAGGAATGTGTAATTTGACATTAGGTCAGATTATTATAAACAATAGGTTTTAACACTGTGTTAAATTTGACGTGACGCGTTAATATATAGGATATAGTAAACTGTATGTGTATAGACTAATGTTCCTGTGGATGAAAGTGCACTCATTCACTTGGGACATGGTTATAAATTAAATGAAATGGGGTTTCGCGTCATACTGTAGGATAAAATGGTATGTCATTCATATACTGGCCATATTTGATTGACATTCTCGATAGTGTTATGTCATACTAATGTTGGAATAAGCTAAGGATCCAGTTTGTTTTAGACATTCAGTGGTGTACGATAACAATATAGTTGTTTTGGTTGACATGTAAAAAGATAGGTTGCCAGGCAATGAAACATACGCCCACAGCAGCTACATCGTCCGAGCAGTCAACAAGAGTTGACGCATATGTTTACTTTTTTCGGTAATGAAACATTTATAATACATTAAAATCTGATTAGGAGTAACAACTCATTAAGTAATTATCAGAAAACCATTAGAATTTGTTTGGTTTTTATAAAGTTTTGTCCCAAGCTAATGTTTAGTATACAAAACTTTTAACATCATGGATTTAGCTGTAAAAATTCATTGAAAATCAATATACTTGTTAGTCTCAAGACCTTAAACTCTGTGTACCAATCTGAAGTCAATCGAATGATAACTTTAGCCTCTAGAGCGACACAAGATTTTTCAAACTGATCAAGGGCCATAACTCTGGCAGTAATTATCCGAAATCGTTGAAAATCAATATGATTCTTCATCTCATAACCTCAAACACTGTGTATAAATTTAAAGTCAATCGGATATTAATTTTAGCCTCTACAGCATCCAAAAGATTTTTCAAAGTGATCAAGGGCCATAACTCTGGCAGTAATTATCCGAAATCGCTGAAAATCCATAGGCTTCTTTGTCTCATGACCTTAAACACTGTGTATAAATTTGAAGTCAATCGGATATTATCTTTAGCCTCTAGAGCGTCCACAAGATTTTTCAAAGTGATCAAGGGCCATAACTCTGGCAGTATTTATTGGAAATCACTGAAAATCAATAGGCTTCTTCATCTCATGACCTTAAACACTGTGTATAAATTTAAAGTCAATCGGATATTAACTTTGACCTCTAGAGCATCAACAAGATTTTTTGAAGTGATCAAGAGCCATAACTCTGGCAGTATTTATTGGAAACCACTGAAAATCAATAGGCTTCTTCATTTCATGACCTTAAACACTGTGTATAAATTTAAAGTCAATCGGATATTAACTTTGACCTCTAGAGCATCAACAAGATTTTTTGAAGTGATCAAGAGCCATAACTCAGGCAGTAATTATCGAAAATCGTTGAAAATCAATATGCTTCTTCGTCTCATGATCTTAAACACTGTGTATAAATTTGAAGTCAATCGGATATTAACTTTGACCTCTAGAGCGTCCACAAGATTTTTTGAAGTGATCAAGGGCTATAACTCTGGCAGTAATTATCGGAAATCGCTGAAAATCAATAGGCTTCTTCGTCTCATGACCTTAAACACTGTGTATAAATTTAAAGTCAATCGGATATTAACTTTAGCCTCTAGAGCGTCCACAAGCAATTGGCCTATAAAAACGAAATAGTAGTCAAAACAGAAATTAGAATTGTATAGTGATTAGGTCGAAAGGTCACATTACTGGCGGTGAAATATAAAATAAAAATGTAGGAATTCTAAAACACAAACGGAAATTATAAAACATAAAACGTAATTCTAAAATTGTTCATTACTCAGTTCAGGTCAAGAGGTCAAACTTAGTTTGAAATTTATAATTAAAGGGACACATCAAAGTTCATTAATAATTAAATAAAGTTTAATTTTAATTAAAAGTAAGATTTACTAATAATTTTTCGAAATAATAATGTAAGACTAATAAATAGCAAAATAAAGTTTTAATAATTTAGGAATAGTTAGTTCTTGGTCTGATGGCAATGACATGTTTGATTGACGGATAAAATTGTACAACCCAATCATACTTAGAAGAAAAAAAAGAAAGTTTCAACTTGACACTATGGTAGCTGAAACAGACCAATACAAATCCAAGAAGAAGAAATGGTTTACCAAACTGACATTTCCCGAGACAGAATTTAAAGCGAAACCTGAACTTTATAAATATTTCGTGTTGTGTTATGTTTTGAAATTAGGACACTTGAAGATTTTAAAAAGACAATTTGTGTTTTCTGTGTTTAGGCTTAGTGAATTTTCATAGGATTTTACAGTGATGAACTTTTTGGAGAACTTTTGCATGCAACTTTTGACTTTTGATTTTTGATTGTTTGTGTTTTTCTTTCATAGCTTGGTTTTATAGTATAGTAATCATTTATATTTGCCTGATGCATGAATAATTAGTTAGAATATCTATATTTTATATATATTCTTAAAGGGGGAAGAATTGTAGCACTATCGTTATTGCGACATTGTTTTTAAAATAAGAGAAATAAGATGCCTTTATATTTCATTAATTAATATCTTTGGCAAAGTATTAAATTTCAAACATATTCACATATATAGTGTGCACTAAATCAACTTAGTCTGTAATTGACATATTGTTACATAAAAAGAGCTCTTAAACCAAAACAGGTGTCACAATTTACCACCAGAATTACACGTGAGTGGAATTATTCTAATTGCATCATTTGACTTAAAGTAACCAATCATATTGTTAATTGCACAGGTTTAGGGCCATGAACAGGCTTCATGTGCATGATAAAAGTGGTTGCTATATAAGATATCTATTTGAACCTTTCAAGACAGGCTTCTATTAGGTTCCAGAGAGCTTACATCTGAGTTCCTAGACAGCCACGAGGCTGGCTAGGGTAGAGAAATGGTTTTAGCTAGTATTGTTATCTATTATGCTTGTATACCTGTATTCAGCTATATATAGATATATAAAATATGTAGAAGCAAACTGTCGCATTGTTATTCCTGGTAAGACAGACGTCTTAAGAAACTGTAAGAAGTAAATACACAACGTGAAGCAGAAGTAAAGACAGCTAGAGACAAATTCTAGACGATCACAAGGCTACAGAAATATGTAGTAAGAAAAGATGCATGGGTCGTACGTAGGATGTGGCGACCGGTTTTAGTACTGTGTCCGCTCTCCACGTCAGACAGAAAGGCCCATGGTGCTACATGTGTACAAAGATCTGTAGCAGTGGGAGGAAACCTAAGGCGTTTTTGTGAACCGATTAGATTAGACCGATTAGCTATTATACGCATTTGTGAACCAAGTTGATTATGCTAATCGTTACATTTGTGAGACGATTTAACTCAACTGATTAGGCAAATCGACCTAATCGTCCCAGGAGGTGTTTAGGCGATTAGATTTGACGTTTTCAAAATGGCGGAATGTTCGACATCGTAAGTAATTTTTAATGCTTATTGTTGTTTTTCTCCATAAAAAATGTTTTTTTAAAACGCATTTGATGTGTTTAAAGTAGCTAAGTCTCTAACTCAATATCATCCAAAATCTTCAACATTGAAAACACGATTTATTTGTCAAATTATATCAACATTCATGTTGTGATCTTAACGGGAAAAGATGGGCTTTTGATATCCAATATTTAAGACAAAATAAACATTTTACCATTGGTACACGAATCGTGTACCATAATGCGCTTCAGCCCTAGTTGTATCAAGAGACTCGAGGAACGAGGCTAGACACATTGCACCAAATCAAACGGCGTATGTAAACTGGAATAACCAGACGCTAGAAATTTGCACTCGCTTGAGACTGCTGGCTTATTTCGCCGAACATAACGGATTTGAAATCGGAGTAAAAACGGAAACCATTGAATCTAAATAAGTTTATATACATTCATATTAGAATATTATACTATTCAAAAAAAGTAGGGGATATTTGATTTTTAAGTGTTATTAAAGTCACCTAATGAAACTGACGAAGAAACAAATGACAAAATGAAATGAAGTTCACATTCATCGATTTATTCCAAATGATCGTTAGACTAAGTAAGGCACAGACTGACCATTATAAGGGTAAAATGATACCCGGGGTCAAACAGCAAAGTTACCACAGCATCACAACCAAGTCAGTAACGGGTAAATCCTCCTCTGTTTGCCAAACAAGCATTGATCCGACGTGGCATACTCCTAATGAGACGTCTAAGGTCATTTTGGTCCAGATTGTCCCATTCCTGTTGCAACGCAGCAGCAAGTTCTTGGACATTGGCAGGACGTTGTTGACGTTGACGTAACCTCTGTCCAAGCATGTCTGGGACATGCTCGATGGGGGAGAGGTCGGGACTCAGTGCTGGCCAAGGTAATGTGGTGATGTTCTGTTGTTGGAGGTAACCTGTAACGATCCTGGCCCTGTGACATCTTGCGTTGTCATCCTGGAAGATGAAACGGCGGCCATGACGTCGTGCGAACGGCACAACATGGACTGCCAAGATGTTGTCCCGGTAGTACTGGCCTGTAACACGCCCTGCAACAACATGTAAAGCCGTTCTTCCAGCAACAGTGATGCCTCCCCACACCATAACAGAACCACCCCCAAATCGATCATGTCTGATGACGTTAACGTCTTGGAAGCGCTCGTTTCGACGACGCCACACCCTCCTACGTCTGTCCAAAAAATCAACAGTGAACCTTGACTCATCTGAAAACATCACATTGCTCCAGCGTCGATTATCCCAGTGTTGACGATCCCTGCACCAACGACGTCTTGCCTGAATGTGATGATCTCTCAAACAAGGGATCACGCGAGGACGTCGGGCGCGAAGGTGACCCCTATGCAGTCGATTCCGAATCGTCTGGCCACTCACTCTCACACCAGTGTCTGTTTGAAGACGAGCGCTGATCTGATTTGCTGTGATGACACGATTTCTCAAGGCCAAGGTACGGATAAATCGATCCTGGGCTTGAGTTGTCGCCCTTGGTCAACCTGAGCGTGGTCTGTCCTGTACAGATTGTGTATCACGGTATCTGGACCATAGCCTGCTTATGACAGACTGAGAAACATTCATCGTCCGCGCCACAACCGCCTGTGTTGTGCCGATCTGTAGCATGCCAAGGGCACGTTACCTTTCATTTTGGGTAAGCCGACGCATATCAAAATTTGTTTTCTGGTCACTAAAACAATTAAACTGATGTTTCCACCCTGGAATTCAATGCCACAATGACTGTAACATTCAAAGTCAGAGTCGTGCAAATCTTGGGTTGGACCCCCATGATGATCCCAAGCATCACCTGCATTCCATGCGGTAGCTATTGGTGCGTTTGGGCGTCACATGTAACTGGAAATGTTTCTTCTGTTAGGTTCTATAGTGACTTTTTTCGTAGTCATTTGCATATTTTAGTATTATGCCCCCAAAATCAAATATCCCCTACTTTTTTTGAATAGTATATATGCATTGCGACATACTTTTGTCAATTTCTAGGTCCCAAATGTTAGCGATTTAGCTCCTTTAATGTTAACTTTATAGTCCACAAGAATGTTAGATCACCTCTGGCTCTAAGCAATTTTAGGCCCTCTGGGTGCCAGCAGTGTCACTGTAATCTGTAGGTAACTTGGACTACACGTGAAACACACGCCCCCCCTCGTCATGTTAGCAGAGACAATTTTTTTTCTGATCGGTGTCCGTGGTGGCAGCCATCTTACCAAATCGTAGTTATCAAATTTCACATTTGTGGACCATAGCTAATCAAATCGAAATCATACCAAATCGTACTAGCAAATCAAAACCTAATCTAATCGACTCACAAAAACGCCTCTAAAGAACTTGAGGAAAACCATGAGGTTAGGTAGGCAACCTTTCTCCTCTTCACTTACATGAAGACCCCATTCATCATATCTATGTACATATCCTTGCAATGATAATCTACTGCTCAGGTTATTATAATTTAGCACCTACCTCTAAAGCTCCTAGAGGATAACCAGAAGCTAGAAATAAATCTTGAGCTAGATTAAATTCTCCTAGAAACATGGCTATATATCCTGATAATTGATTCTTATCTTCTATTGTCTTTATTTTCTGTAGTGATGACACCATACCAACATCACCAACATTTCTATATACACGAATAGCTACAAAATATTTACAACATAATTACAGTGTGAAAGAATAATTATACTTTATTTTCAATCTGTAGAATAATTCAACTTGATTGGTATATGCAGTATTTCGGAGGAGAATGGGTGGTGATGCCCAAAATGTAAAAGTCGGTGCAATGTGTCATGGCTGGTTAATCAAATTAGTTTTGGGGGTCCAAATAAACATTTGCAAATTCAATGTGTCAAAAAGGACGCAGAAGTCCATTTCTAAAGCACTAAAACTCCAAAGGGTCGGCATGCTCAAAGCACATAGTAAATTATAGTGATAATAGCTCTTGAAGAAATATATCTTTAATCCTGACATAAAATCTTGTAAAGCCATAGCAAGTATTAAACCTTCTGGAGGTTATTACACATTCTTGTAGCTGATGTTCCTTACAAGCGATATTGAGCACTTGAGTAGGACGAAGAATAATAGTATTTAAATAAGTTACACTTTTAGATATCCTATAAATACTTTTAAATTATCTTTCAAGGTGTTTTTTTTGTACTTTGAGTATTTAAATCTATTCAAAGCTAGTACCATATATATTAATAACGATTTTGCCAGACAAGACAATATATGTATTTTGACCAACACTTACCATAATCAATGTCCATACTTTGTAGAGCTGCTTTACCTAGTTCCACCCATAAAGATTTATCATTGAGATGGTGTGAAAATATCCATGCATCTTTAAATCTAAAACATAAATTCCAATCATTATTGTATTGAATTTCACTGGACTGACCTAGTATCCATGGAAAATAATATTTCTGGTGAATTAGTCAGTTTTGATCTTTATACCAAAAATCAGAAGCTCAGTGAAATTTTCCCGAGTGACCGACCTCTCAAATATTTCACCTACTGACATAATCTGCTAATTCAAACTAGTGAAAATTGCTGGTTTATTCAATAACAGGTCGCAATAGCTACAAGGTAGACCTTCTGTCAGTAATACAAAATTAACCAATGGCACAATTTTGATCAAATCTGAATGATAAAACCCACCACAGCACAAATGGTATCGTCCTTATGTTTTATAGCTAATTGACAATTAAAATGCAAAACAAAGTATTTATAATGGACTGCTGAAAGTCCATGTTGCAGAGAATAAGTTGTATTTTATTTGTTTTTAAAAAGTATTTAAGAAATACAAACATTGTGATTTTAATACAAATAGGGCAGTAATATATAAAAGCTTCATTATATTTTTGAATATAATGTATCTTTAAAGATATTGTTAAATTTTTACCTCCGTAACTTAATGCACTGTTCTCCTGCAGCCTTTAACTAAATAAAAAGAAAAGATAATGAAGAAGAAATAATCTCATTTTAAAGAATTTTAAAGACCATTAAGCAGCACCAGTAAATTATACCATCATCATAAACACTTCCTTATAGTTAATAAATATAAATCATTTTAGGCCCTGTTTCACAGAGTAAGACTTGAGCACGAATTCACAGAATTGCAAACAAAAGACATAAAATTTATGTTTTGTCACAGTTCTGTCAATCCTGGTCAGTGGGAATATAATCTTAAAATAATTAAAAACATCAAATATGTTCCAAATATTTTCTTCTTGCAGCTCAAAATCACTCTTTTCACTCTTTCACTCTATTGTCACTTTCATGAAATTGGGAAACTTCAAATCCTAAAAGTTCAATTGAGTATCCCCTATATTTACCTCAGGACCAGTAAGTGTTTGTGGATTTTCATGATATATATTAATATGTGTATCTAGTGTCATCTGTGCCAAACGGCCATTCTGTGTCTGTACTGTTAGTTCTCCATTATATAATAAAATAGGAATCTGGCCATACGGTAATTTAGTAGTTCCTGCTAGAAATACTTGTGAACCTATAAAACATTATAAACAGGTAAAGTCAATGGAACGATACATATTACTGAACCAAATAGTTTCTAAACAGACACAAGGCAAACCAGTAGGTCCATACTCCATACCCATATAAAGCATTTGGTTGGAGTTAGATATAGAACAAAAAATGAGAATTATGTAACGAAAATGGGCACAGATCTCTATATCAAGGAGGAATGAAATTTCTCTGGGAATCATATCTGAGATTCTTACACTAGGGCCAAAATTAGGAATCTTGGTAGAAAAATTAATTCTTCAGAAATATCTGATGGAACCCTGCCTAATTTGAATGCATACCCTTGCAGCATATTAATTGGATAATATTTGATAAGATAATGAGATTCTTATACTTACCATTAACAGATTCCCGACAATATACGTAGGTATAGATCATTTCACTATCAAACACAATAAATACACCCTATATAATAATAAACAGATCATTCAATAAAATAATATAATAATAAACACATTATTAAATACAATAATATAACATCACAAAATATAGAGGTTTTCTAAAAATCAGGAAAATAAAAATAAAATATATAAATACAAACCTTATCTAAAGGCCAGTTTTCCCATAGAACACCTTCAACAGATGAGGTAATGTTTGGTATTTCAACTATATGATCATTTACCTAATAAAAACATCATATATATTCTTTATACATGTTTTTATGTTTATATGACTAACAATGACTTAAAATATTAAAAATATACAACAGGGTAATTGGGTTATTATAAAGTGATAGAAATCTAACTGTATAAATTATAAAACACAGCAGTGAGTAGCCTGTTTCATAACATTCCAACTAATAAACAGACATCATCAAGCTTTTCTCACGATTTATTATATTATTGTTCAAATGATTATTTTGAGGTCTAAATAAAATATCCTTTCGATAATTAGAGAGGTGGGTTTGGTCGGGTGGTTGAGTTGTCTGATACAGGCCTGTATGTGAAAAGGAGTAATCCCATGGGTTTCCTCTTGGTCCTCCGACTTCCTTCCACTGCTAAAAGACTCCTACGTGCAATTGAAATAAAGATGTCCCTAATAACGATGTTAACAACAAGGACAAAAAAATTGTAGATTGAATTTGAATTGTTAAGATGCAGATAAAAACATAAAAGATGATGAAAAGCTTACAGGATTATATACAAAGCCATCACTTTTACCGTCTATAAAGACTAGTCTGGTACCAGATGGATCAGGGTAGATTTTCTTGATACCATCAATATGTCGAAACTCATTGACAAACTGCCAATCTTCTATATAAAACAGGTTGATATTACCAGTCTAAAATTATATAAATAAATGATCAAATACAAGAGGTTGTCTGGATGGATATAAACTGCTATAAACTGTGTACTCTAGCAGACAGAATTATTCTCTTACCTAGAAGATACCAAGGGAAGAACATAAAAGTAGGATCACCCAAACTCAGGTATAACACATTCTATATTAGTATAAGGTGTTTACTAGCAGAGGGAGCCACGGTGAGTAAGACATTGGCTAGCTAACCTAGAGGTCCCATGTTTGATCCCTGTGTTGGCCAAGAAAGTTTATCAGGATTTTCCGACCTGGTTGCTCCTTGTCAGTGGTGCAGCACTGAGGACCCGGTATGGGACAATTTATAGTCATTCGGATGGGAAAAAAACAAAGATTTCCTGTGTAGGGCCTACACATTGGCGTGCACTTAAAAGATCCCTTTGTCACTGTCCAGGCAAATTTCCCTTATAACACACTGTATGGCATATGCCCGTCTTCATTAGCCCAGTCAAGCAGAACAGAATGTTAAACCCTATTTCATTTGTTTACTAATAGAACATTTTGGTCATTAGCTTGTCTTGCTTGAACTAATGAGAACCTTTCTAATTGCTATTATGGTTACTGCAATATTTATTATTGATCGTTTGCCAGTCTAGGTCACCAATCTCAGAAATTATTTTCTTTGTGACTGGCATGCACATAAAAGAATCCTTGACAGTTTGAATTTCAAATAAGAGTAGGCTGTAGCATGGCTGTCCAGGCATATGCCCGTCTTCATTAACCCTGTTAGTGAAGAACTAGGGCATCCAACTCCATTTCATTTGATTTCTTTATGATTTATATCAACTACTTGTAATGCTATTTTAAAAGTCATCTCTACCAAATTACAGAATAAGTGAATATTACTGTATTAAACTTACATCTGTTCCGTATATAAGGAAATCTGTTGTTAAATCATGACAAGTTATTTTAACATTTTTCTGTTCAGGTCCAGGAAATAACTGAGATTCTCTTTCTTCTGCTGTACCAGTTGCCTCCCCTTCAATCTAAAAACATGAAAAATAACATCTAAAATTTCAACAAGAATTAACATTTGAAGACTATAAGAATTTTATGTCGATAAAGTGAGACCACAGAAGATCTACAACAATGGCACAGTAAAAACAGATCAGAAGATCTACAACAGTGGCACAGTAAAAACAGATCAGAAGATCTACAACAGTGGCACAGTAAAAACAGATCAGAAGATCTACAACAGTGGCACAGTAAAAACAGATCAACAGAAACAAAAATATTGAAAATCTGAACATACCAGATGAAGCTGTACTTTGCCTTCAAAACTAACAGCAGCATAATCTGAGTTGAGTTTTAATGATTGAACTGTTCCTAGATATTCTCTATCTTTTAACTGTTCTGGACCTATATGTAATACAAAATGATGGATAGCATCTCATTCAAACCAAGAACATTCTAAATACCTAAACAATAAACTACTGCTGCAGAAATTGCAAATCCTTTATATGAACTATCAAAGGAGGTATCTAAAAAAGTAATTTCTCCAGGAGTTACGACAGCTACTTTATTCAAGAGTGGCAAATTTTCTTCCTCATCCTCCCATTCCAGACTAGCCTCTGAAGCATGACTGCTTTTCAGGCAAGTTCTAGGAACCGTTTGTCTGCAATATCACGAACGAATGAAAAGTAATTTGTTACCCAGTAACTTACCTTGATCATTTAAGGCATAAAACCAGGCTCTATTATTCATACCAACGCCTAGATGATATGGTCCGATTCCTACAAATGATGGTTCCACTTCAATAGCAAATGATATTGGTTTATCTTGTAGGATATTATCTTCGATTGTAACTTCCAGTAATGATGTCAGGTGAACTATACGTGTCTGAGAGACGGCTGCCAACATAGGCAGACGGGATAGATAAACATGAAGGTTTCCTTTTTGAGTAGACAATGCGAGTAGCTGTCCGTCATCTGTCCAGGATATTTTATCCAATCCTCTTTCATCTTCCAATGTTATAATGGCGTACATCTCTTTCAAATCAGATAAATCATGGATTTTAATACTGAAAAAATAAAGTCATTTCTAAACTTATGAATAGACGAACTTGTTTGAAAAAGACATGATAAATAATGAAAGACAGGGTGTATCATACTGTTTTCAAGATTAATTATATTCCTATTATTGTGCTCACATACATGTATGGGTGGGGAAAGATCTTTCACAAGATATATTCTAAACCAACACACCGAGTCGTTTTACTATAAAATGTTAGTTTTATTTAAACAGGAGATTTTATTCATGAAAACTAGCTACACATGTATTATACAATGCATCAAGTGAACCAAATAAAAGGTAAAGTTGGAATGACTAAATAAAATGGAGTTTAACATCTTACTTATCTACACCAATCTGACTAATGAAGATGACAAATAATTCCCTCTGATAGCGGTACTACTCTTATTTCAACTAACTACTGTCCGGGGATCTTTAAACGTTCAGCCAATGGTATATACGGGACCACCCGAATAACTAGACAGTTTTCCTTGCCAGGTTTTCCAGTCTGCACCACAGACCGCAGGAAACTAGAATCCTGATAAAGTTTCTTGGGCATCATTGGGATTGAACATTAGTCTAACATATTTAAAATTTATAAAAAATAGTAAAGCCACGGTACCAAATCTAATAGATGATATATAGAAGAAGAGTTTGATATTATAATATTTACCAGTTATCACCACATGAAGCAGCTTTATTATAGGCTGTAGATAAAGCTATACTGGTTAAACTATCTTTATGATTCTTAGCTTGAAACAATTCCTTAAATATAGATTACACCAAATTTCTATCAACATTTCTATTTTGTTAAAATGTAAATTAGGAAATCATAAAAAATTAGAGTGGACTCTTTATTAAATGTGGGTACATATGTAAAAGATTTGTTTTTGGAGAGGAAATGAAATGGGGTTTGACCGCCTACTGTTCTGCTCTGACTGGGAAAATGAATACAGTTTTTGAAGAGTGAAGGGGGAATGGAGGGGGTTGGCAAAAATTATATGTACCATTAGCCTATTTAAAGACTATACTAGTAAAACTATTTTATCACAAGTAATAATTATGTTCTGTGTCACAGAAATATCCAAATAAAAAACCTACTTGACCAATTTCTTTCAGATGTGTTGAAATGACAACAAAAAATCCATGAGAAAATCCAATTAGAATATAGCCATCACCAAACCTAGTAATGAAAACAAATCAATAAGAAGCAAGTGTAGAAGTGGACACAGCTCTCATATCACTAGCATTTTTAGTGTACAAGAATTGAACAGAAGTATAGAATTTAATGTATTTCAGATTAATATATTATAGTACTGATATTGATATTTCAATAGTTTCCCAGGTCACACATCTTTAACATGCATTAACTCTCACCATTCAACAAAACAAGTTTGATAATATAAACATATACAAACCATCTATACGACACTATGTTACCATATCGTTGTTGAAATGCTAATTCTATAGGATTATCAGGATCATTGAGATTATAGAGATATAGCGTCTTCTTTCCATTTATAATACTAACCTAGAAAATAATAAAATTCAAGATTAACAAACACATGTTTTTAAATTTAAATCTATAAATAAATTAAAATCAAATTTGATTATAAAACACTTATTGATGAATTTTACAATGAAACACAGATGGCCTCATTAAATATCCACAGGACGCAAAGTCCTCTCAACAAGTTATCAAACGAATTAAAAAAAAATTATCAGGAACTTTGTCCTCTGCTGCATTCACAGGTAAAAAAAGTGAACATGGGTAAAGGCAGATAACTTGTAATCAGAAATTCGGTTTGAAAACAAACTAGGGGCCTGGGATAGTACAGCATGGATCCATTCACTTGATTTGACAGTTTTATTATTTACAATCCCACATGTGTGTGTGATGTGTTGTCTGAGTTTCTATTTGATTGTTATCTGTGCTGATTTTTCATGAGTGGCCACTGAACTCCTTAAAGACCACAATAGTTATTAAAGGGCATGATTTGTAATGTATCTAAAAATATCTTAACTCGGCCTACAATCTAACTGATAAACAATGTACAGCAATCAAACTAGAATTGACACTCCAAGCTCTCATACTTCTGTAAGTCAAATGATCTATTACTATAAAATGTTGTAGCTTACTGTATTTTCACCAATAGCACTTCTTTCATCACCTTTCATTTCAGAAAACTCGATATCAGACGGCTCATATCGCAGACTTGTTTGACGAATAGTGTCACCATCAACATTACTGATTGTCACTGTCCTGTCATCACTGCCGAGTGCCAACAAATTCTCTTGACTCCAGTCACCACATGTGATTTTCTTTGTATGTTTTCCTAGAATTGGTATTTTTCTACAAAAAATAGCAGTTGTCTTAATCTTATTTGCATTCTTAAAAAGCTGCAAAATAGTCTCAAAATTTTTTGGTTCTTCTTTGGACCTTCAAAATTTCCTGTTTTGGTTTGCTTTTTTAAGCAAGAAAACATAAACCTTTTAAATTCAGCAAGTTTACAATTGCATTTGAATTAGGCTTCTGAATTAAACTTTTCCAGAAAAAGACCTTGCTCTCAAAAGGGAGCCACAGTTGTTCAGTGGGTAGGCATTGGTGTGCTAACCTAGAGTTAGGGGATTCGATACAGGTGTTGTCCGAGAAAGTTCCTCTGAATTTCTACCGCAATTTTCTCTTGTCAGCGGTGAAGGCAGAGGATCTGGCAAGGTATAGTGTCTAGTCATTTGAATGGGTCCTGTGTACACATTAGGGTGCACATAAACCCTTGACAGTTGGATTTCGAAATAAGAGTAGGTCATAGGATGTTCAACCCCATTTCATTTCATTCTCAGAAAGAATACCTTTTTTCTCTAACAATGAGATGGATCTGAGTATTTCATGTTTTAAATTGGTTGAATATTGGACCACCATCTTCCACATTAAAACATGTAGGCCCTGTCAGTTCTTTGTTGGCGCTGGGTTGATGGAAAAACGTGAATTTTAAACACTGACAACAACATCTATACAAATGGTTTATTTTAAATCTAGAGTATAGCTAGATCAATTGATTAAAGATATAATGTTCTTACTTTGTTGTTTTACTATTATAGATCAACAGATTGCCTTTTATAGTACCAACAGCTAGTTGTGGACCAGATTTAGACCACAATAAAAATGTCATAGTATCTCTGTAAAATAATAATAATAGTATTATAGATCAATGTCTTATATATCAGTATACCATTATAGACGTTTTTCTTTCATCTACCACATGATTCACCAGTACAATATATTGCTATTATCACTTATTACGGTTAAAACATCAAAGAAATGTAGTTTAACCATGCATTATGCAAGAGCTAAATCTGCCTTGAGCTTACTTGAGACCACTATCTATTTGTGATGTTTTATGTTGATTAGCATCCCAGAAGAATATACCAGTAGATTTATCTGATATAACAGCCAGGATATCACCATCTTGATCCCATCCCATACCAGTACACATACTGTAAATAAAAACAAATAGAAATAATTCAACACTTACTGGCAACTTTATAGATACAATAATCTCAGAAATAAAGAATCTGTATACTGTACATGTAAATGAAATGAAATGTGGTTTAATATTCTACTTTTCTGCACCATCTGGGCTAATGAAGACAGTTGCTAGCATACATTTACTATGGCCTAGTTTATTGATAATGGAACATAGTTGGTTTTAAAATTACAGGGTTTGATATTAGCATTAGTTCTTTAATCAGAGATTAATAACATTTGTGACTGACTAATCATTAGTCTGGCTATAATAATATATATATATCTTGAAGTAAAATAAAGCTTCTTTATAAACTAGTCTTCAAAGTCAACTAGCAAAATGATCCAAAAACAAACGGAACCAACTGAACACTCCTATCAATTTAAAAATGAAATTCTTACTTACCCTGGTAATTTGATCTCTCCTTTAATCTCTCCATGTCTGTCATAGATTCGCACAGAATGATTTTGTCTAAAATAAAAAGGATTAATAATATTTAGTAACATGTTTTGATTTAACCATTGACAGTGGGCTTGTCTGGACCCATATAGGCCCCACTTGCAGGAAAGTTGACTGTACTAAATCTAAAATCATTGTCAGAAATCTCACTGATCAAGTTTTACCAAATTTATTAGATCTGTGTACAAAGCTTTTTAATTGAAAGGGTGGGGGTGGGGGGTGGATGGCCGAATGGTTAGCGTGTGCGCACTGCATTGAGTCAACAGGTGTGGTTTCGATTCCCCGATTGTACGTGACAAGGAGTAGGGTCACCTGTCCAACCTTTTGACCTCCAGGGTCACCAAGACTAAAGGTGAATTTAGCAAGTTTACATTTTTATTGAAAGTGTGATTACTTTCGATTATTTTCAGCTTCTTTTCATAATACAATAATGACTGCGCATTCAATTTCAGTGCAAATGAATTCATTTGACCTTTGACCCTGAATATCTCGAAAACACCCCAATGGCGAACTGATTACCACTTAGCATCGTATTCTACGCAAAATTTTACTCTAGAAAAGTTGCGTCTGGTTTTGTGCCCATTTGATGGATACCCCCGTGCTGAGCCCCCGGTCTATAAGTTTATTTTGTCCCTTCAGTAAGTAACTTATCACTCTTCAGTTTTATTTCTTCGACATCTGCAGCACTAAAAATATCAATTATTCATTTATCCTGTTCTTTTTCTTGGTATATATTGACTTGGTTGTGATTCGTGATATGAATCATATCGTAGCACCTGAATCGAAATACATATTGCATCGTGATTGCAGTAGCAATACCCAGCACTACTTCTAGCAGGTTTGTGGATTTTTAAAAAAATAATAAAAATGTACTTACCCTGTTGTGGCTAAATAGTTTCCAAGTGTTTTTTGCCAACTGTAGAATATCTGGCCCTGTCCATGGGTTTTTTCAGTTAAACTAAATACTTTCTGAATAAATTAACATCATCAGTCAACAATTTAAAAAAGATTATTGTACGTAATATTTGGGAGGTACTGGTAAGCTAATAATCGGTAACAGACTTTGTTAAGAAGTCATATAATAATGACATTAAAATAAAAAAAACACAAGATATTATATTATTGTATCAGCATATTTCATTTTCTGTTTGTATGTATGATGGTAGCATTATCAGTTTATGATACCTCCAACGGGCAGTGAGTGATCATTTAAAAAATGTGTTGCATCTAATATCTTCTGCTCAGATACATCATCAGCTACAATATTGTCACATTAAACTATACAAATAGATTCAACGCATATCATTACAGTTTGTACTGAAATAAGTAATTTTGCCCGGGCAGCAGCACTATCGCCTAGTCTTATATCGAATTCCAACTGTCAAGGGATCTTTTACGAGCATTTTAATGTATACACGGGACATCGGTTTTTCGTATCAGTCATTGTTTTTTGAGGCGCGCAATCGCTCGCGAGCGCCTGTCGCGCACCCGAATGTTGACCGAGGGGAGGTTTTTCTCCCTCGCCTTAAAATAGAGAATCGCTCTCCATATTTGTAAATCATGGATATGTATTTGGGGTTTTTTTCCAAAAGAGTGTGAAAGACTCATATTCCGATCGCCAACATCATGCTGTCATTGTGAACAGTTACTTGGTGTATTCGATCGGTATAATGTGATCGCGCATGGGAATAAAATTCCGATGAATATGTTGCTAAAAATAGATGGTGCCTATGCATCATTGATTAATTTAACTGAAATGAAAAGTAGAATTCTCGCGAAACTTGAGAACTTACAAGAGATGGCACGTAAAAATTTCCAATGACAATAATTCCGGAAGAAATAGATTATATTTTGATGGAATTTTCAAGCGTTTATGATTATATTTTGAATAGGGGTTATGTTTTTAAACAAAATTTATACAAGCTATAAATATTTAGAAATGTCGAAAAATATTTCTATTGGAATACCGTATTGACTGGGGCGGATCTCAGTTTTGACAAGGATTCAATAGAAGAGTTTCTGAACGTACAGGCCGAGTGAAATGAGACCTACGTTCAGAGCTGAACTATTACTGTAGTTATAGATGACAGCAGAAGTTTGACATGACCGTACGACTACGAGTGCTATTATTTAGCAGACGATGTTTATTATCATTTATGTAACCAAGAATGGCCCAATACACACAGTTATTGATTTTCAGAACCATTTCCCACACACAAATAATCACTCTCCTTAATATCAGATCATTCTCCTTAATTTCTAAATCACTCTTCTTATCAAACTGGGAGAGCTATTTTAGGGGAGCGATTTTTTCAGTTATGTTCATTAAGGGGAGCTTTTTCGGCTCTCCTCTTAAATACAAAAAACAACGACTGCCATATTATTATATGCACGGTTATGGTAACTTTCAGTTTTTACAATACTTGGAACCAAGTATTTTGAATAACTAAATGTTAAATTTACCCACTCTAAAATGACTAAAATAGATAATGAAAAACTAGTCTGTTGATCTCCATAAAAGGCTGTTTATGGATTATAAGTCTGTCATTTCCATGATTTCGGATTTATGATTATTAATGAACTCAAAACTGAAGGATTCTGCAAAGCTTCCCTCGCAACCAATATGTTGATACCTGTTTATTACATTATTTCTAAGAATATTTATTTAAAAATAAACGTAACATTTCCAATATATCATTATTTCATTACAGCTTGTTGTTGTATTAAAGTTATTTAGTAATTTACCTTCATTTTTGATGTATTTCGTTTCAATTTTCTTCTATTTATGGTGAGTTTACATTCCAGACGCGAATGCGATGGAATTTCGATAACCAAACAAATCTTATTGAACAGAGAGCTTTTGTCAAGAGACGCAACTCCTTTTCGCAGTACCCTCCCTTTACACTTACTACAGGTGCAACTCGACCATAATTACTGACCGTCTTTAGGAAGTTTCGGAGAGCGATATTCCGTAACCACTGTGGGGGCAAGTCCTGGTTATTGCACGCAAGTAATTATTCCGTTAGATACAACGAGGTCCGATATTAACATAAAAGTGAGTCTTCTAGAACATAGACTTTCAGAAAAAAAACAATGTTATGCTCTATAGGGCCTACTGATCCCTGGATAAAGAGACTCCCAGTTGCGATGGTCACGATTAGTTAACTGAACAGTCGATCTTTATTTCAACCCCAACTCTGACAGATTAGGTAATTAAAAAAACGACGGGATAGAGTTTTTCTTACACTCTTTCTCTGAGGCTGTGTCCCTTATCTATCAAATAATACACTGCTATCAGCTATGGCCAGTTAAAACAAGCGGTTGCCATGCAAAATACGCCCACATTTTCCAAGAAATGTATGGGGAAGAGGTAAAATCAATGGGATTCATCCTCTCATTCAAGATCTTTTAATCCTTAACATATTTGTCAACTTTCATCAGAATAGGACAAAAGGGGAGTGGCCATTTGACTGAAAGTTTCGGTCCGATTTTCAGGAAATTCAAACTCAATCATATTTATGATGTAACGGTGATATATTTCAACGGTTTTGAAAATAAGATAAAAATGGTGACCTCTATTGGGTATTACATGCTTGTAAGGGTAGCGGACTTTTTGTCGGGCAGTTTTGGTCCGATTTTCACAAAATTTGAACTCAGTCGTGATTACCATTTTCAGCTTCTTTTCATAATACAAGAATGGCTGTGCATTCACTTTCAGTGCAAATGACCTTATTTGACCTTTGACCCCGAATATCGTATTCTACGCAAAATTTTACTACAGAAAAGTTGGGTCTGGTTTTGTGCCCATTTGATGGACACATCCCACTGAGCCTCCGGCCTATAAATATATGTTTGGAATTCTTAAATTTAATCTTGAACCAAAAATAGAATTCAGTAACCCTGAAAACCTTATTAGATATATTTTAAATCAATATCTACATGGAAAAAATCGCTAGTATGGATTCTATTTTGATTGCCGTTATAAATTTATACCATCTGGGCTATTCAAAGTTAAATTTGGGAGTCTGAATTGAACCCAGTAACCTCAAATTCTTTATTTAAGACATATTAAAAGCCATATACAACGGAAGAAAGTGACGATTAATTAAAAATCCGCCATTTTGGACTTCACTCTAACGGCCATTTTGGATTTCGAAATTCATTTTTTTGAGATCAGAATTCAACCAAATGACATCTAAAACAATGTGAAAGACATGTGACAAGTTGTATCCAAAAGGGAAAAATAACGATTAATATATAATCCGTCATTTTGAATTTCTCCCATGTTGGATTTTCAAAATTCATTTTTAAATCCATCGAAAACCATATACAAGACATAGTAAAAGTCATATCTTACGAGATAGTGATTGGTTATGTACGGTGACAATGCCATTTTATTACCAAATGTGGCGGCCATTGTTAAAAAAATATCCGGTAATATTTGAAAAAATAAATTATTAAAATTGGTTTGGTCAAATTTGTTATTTTCAGAACATTTCGCCTCTATTACCACTTTGTATTGTACAATTTTAATAAAAATCTATTTATTGTCCCACCACTGAAACGCACTAGTAAAAGATATCACTCTCAGAAACTCCTTTAAAGGCTCAATACCACTCTTGTTGTAGCTGAATAATATGTCCCAATCTTTAATCTGGTCAACAAATTGTACTATTGTAGACTATTTCAATTAATTGATGATACAAATTTTATCCTAACACACCTTATTTAAAAATTTTGAAAAATTCAACATAATGGTTTGAAACGTCTAACGTAAACCTTTTCAAATGAAACTTCGATTTAAAAATATTTTCAAACCCTCTGGACAAGTAAAATAGGATGTAATGGATAATTTACACAACAGGTAGGACACTTAAACATCTAGTACTTAGATAGAGATATTATTTATTTTCTGGAACTTTCAAGCCAGCAAGAGTGTTATTGTCCCTTTAAGGCCGCCATATTGAATTACGTTAAAAGACATCGGCCGAATTTGAGTATGACGTTGTCTATGTGATTGAACCAAACTGAATTGGTTTCTTTTGCAATTTGTTTGGGGTCACTCTACTTTTGAGATTAAATTGCTCCGTCCAGTCCCAAACATGGCATGTAATTTTGTTTAAACAAATCTTGATAAGCGTCCCTAAGCAACATATCTACCAGTTTCGGTTATCAATGAGTGGGTTGGGAAAAGAACTGAAATCAAATGAAATGGGTTTAAGGAATTCTGCTCCCACCGGGATAGTGTAGACAGACATGTAGTATGCTGTGAGGGAAAATATTTGGCCAGACAGCGGCGTTTCGGCCTCCTCTTCGCCGAATTCCAACTGTCATTGGTTCTTGTACGTGGACGACAGCGATCACAAGGGTTTTCGTCTCATCCGAACAAAAAGGTGTCTCTTCCCACGACAATGCCAAAGAGAAATCAGATTGGAACCTTCTAGGCCAACAACGGGATCGACCATCAACATCACCGCTGTGGCCCTCGTTAGGAAGAGAAGATAAAAATGTTTAAATTCTCCCATTTGATGCCCCTCTTTCCCTTCACTTTGAGATCAACAAAGCATTTCATGAGAAGCACTTGACATAAATTTTCCCAAAAAGCCTCCCAACCCCACAGTAATGGGATCTAGCAAGTTGTTTTACTTGAAACTTCAGTAACATTCAATCATTGTTTGATATATCAATAGTCAAAAATGTTTAAATATTCTCCTTCGTATCGTTCAAGTTCTGATCCGCTTCTTTATTTCAACAACTTTTATCATGTAGGACTTCTCTACCAAATTTAATTGAAATCCATATAGCCATTCTGAAACTTACCTAATTTGCATTTGTTTCGAGGTGTCTCGTGTTTGAAACTTAAAAGCAGGTAACACAAAAAGAATGAATGATAAAATGTCGTTTGGCAATCCACTATGCAAATTTCATTCTTCTTGCCTCTTTTTAACCAGAACAAAAATAGTGGTCAAGGAGAAACATTGCTTTACGGGGGGCATTCTGTTAGGTAGTGGACAGCTATACAAGAAGGTTAAGTCACGGAGAGAGAGAAAGAAAGTGATATGAGGGTTTAACGTCCACTCAACACAAACCAGGTAATTCTGGGATAAACATATTAGGCCTATGTATGGTTCAATTCTATTTCAATCAAACATAAGTCGGCCACATTAATTCGGTACTACTATCACCGACAAGGAACAACAAGAGCGTCTTTTGACAATGTGTACACGGGACTTCGTTTTTTTCATCCCATCCGAAAGACTAGACAGCTGAATTCCAAATATCATGGGATCTAAAACGTGGTACCAACGTGTACAAAATTTTCATGCACCAGTTGTATCACACAGATTTGAAAATAAACATTATCTAAATAATATTTGTGCGCCCATAGCGTTATAAAACATTGATTTATAAGTTGAGTGTCCAAACTTTCTTCCTCAATTCGCTTGGTGCCATTTTAACTCTATATACCAATGATCAAACCAAGTTGACAACCTGACAGAAGAGATTAGATATTTATTTCAAAATATACATCATATACAGAATATATTAAGTACCGTAAAATGCTTGTTTTTCGAAGAACAATCAATTGATTCCAAAAATTACATTATACCCCATCCCGTAAAAAAACCCAAAGCAAACAACAAAACAAAGCAAAGAAAATACCAAAAGACAAAGGGGCGGGATGCCAGACGACTTTTTTGCACCGGAGAAGGGTGGCACTCTCAATGAACCTGCAAAATAATAATGGATTGTTCATTTTATATTCTCTATTAGATCTTGAAAGGATGCCCAAAAATACTGATATATTCGCCATACGATTTTGTAAGCACTGACAATGTTTGTATCTTGTCCTCTGAGTTCAGATGGGGTAGTTTTCATAATCTTTGTTTTTCTGCCAACTTTATTCCACGTGATAATATTTTTCAGTTCTTGGATTGGAATATAATTTGGATTATACCAAAAAAATAAGATTACCTCTCCACCTTCAACAGTTTAAGAATTATTACTATCATCACGAATTGCAAATTGTTCGTGCATACTAATATATAAAGGTCTTTCCCGAATCGTTATTAAGGGTCCGCAGATTATATACCCTTTTGGGGTAGTAGTTTCCCCATATTCTGACCAATGGTGGGTGATGTTTTATCTTCTTTATGGCGATTGACATATTCTTCAGACAACTGGCAACCTTTGTTATAATCAAAATTTTCAATCGGAATAAACTCTAATGGCTTTTCTTTAGCTATGTCCTTTAATCTTGTTGTCCAGTTATCAAGCATGGACTTCCGTTTGGTATCGGCCGCCATTGTTGGAGCGTAAGACACCTGAGCTTTCAGAACATCAAATCCAACAAATCGTAAAATACCATACTGAAACGCAATATGCAAAAGATTATCATTCTATACATAAATTTAATCTCAATTGGAGGCCTAAATGAATTTGGAATCAATTAGAGGTCACGCCTTGCGATCATAAGGACAAATCACGGCGTCCCGTTAAAGGGATCGAAACAAAGATAGCTGAACTATTATAAATATGTACAAAGTATACTGTAGTAGAACAGAGTAGTCAATTCCACAAGACTACATTGAAGTTAAAGATTTCATTTATTCATTCGTGAGAACTTAGAAGACTTGAATATCAAACATGCATAGTAGTATTATTAGTAGACTTTCATATTAAACTTGCATAGTACTAATAGTAGTATTATTATAGTAGATTTGGATAGAAGTACATCTAATACATTAGTAGACTTTAGCAGACTTGTTTAGACTAATATAATACTAATAGTTCAGTACTAGTAGGCTTGTTTTTAGACTAATAGTTAAGTGAGTTGTTTCTATCTATAGACTAATAAATTACTAATAGTTCAGTGAGTTGTTTCTATCTATAGACTAATAAATTACTAATAGTTCAGTGAGTTGTTTCTATCTATAGACTAATAAATTACTAATAGTTCAGTAGGCTTGTTTAGACTTATTTAGATTGACAAATTATTTTTGCTCTAGATCATGTAAAATTCGATGATTTCAACGACGAAGACTTCAAGACAACAACGGAAAGCTCGATCCCCAGACAGCCCACGTTTTCCGGTCACGTGGTTACCTGTAGACTAGATTGTTTGGTCGCTTACATATACCACCGCCATTTTTTTTACCAACATGCCTTGGACCGGAAGTAACTTCTGATGCAGTTAGTAAGTAAATAATTACGACCGATATGCCGTCTACAATTATAATAGAATAGTACACAATTTTGATTTAAAAATATGTGTTAGTTCTTGGGTTAGTTGTAAAGGGGGCGGGGGAAAGGAACTACTCCTTGGTGTATTTTACAGGACAAATAACGCACAAAAAGGAAAACTGCACATTTGAACCGTTTACATGGGTATTTTCAAATATGTCCTGATAGGACAGTGTTACATTCATATCTTCTGTGTTTCCAATTCTTACATTCAACTGTAGTTTTTGTATTAATCTGTAAACACTTAAACCTACAGTTACTCTATTATATTCTTGAGAATTCTTTTTAAATGGTAGATGCTGGACACCTCGTACACGTATTGCTTTCTTCCTAATGATAAAGTGAAATGATTAAAAGGAGAAACTTACCTCCATTGGCCATAATATAATATTTATATCACCATTTAATCCTTTATTAGTATATAGTGTATCGGGTCCGCCTGTTGTCAATGATAACATTGCTTTCTTTCCCTTAAATAGAATAGAATGGGTTTAACGTCTCCTCAACAAAATACTTTCATTTGATTCGAGACTATATATAACACTTTTTATCCCATGATTATGTATGCAAAGCGAGGCATGATAATTTTGTCTGGACATCGGCGTTTCCTAATATCCAGACGCCACAATCGGACCTTTACTGTATAGAAAGGTAAAACGTTTATTTGTTTTTATGACGCTTCAAAGAGCTAAAATAAATTTATTTGGTTCAATCTGTTCAGTTGGTTTTTATCTTTAAAAAACTCTACTAATACTAGCCAGACTATTGTGCGAACATAATTACATGTCGATTTAGTAGTCGACTGTAACGTGTTTTTTTCCTATTATACTAATGCATATTTATATATTGACTTTGAATTGGACTACCCATTAGCACTGATAGTACTGTATTGTTTCTGCTTTTAGAAAAGCGGGGTTAACGGCATTTTGGGACGCGTAAGGTGTCGCTATAGTGTCCGAGGAAACCGGAGGATCAGAGAAAAACCAAGATACTGGAAAGACGGGCGATATCATACACCAATTTGTTATCTGACTTGGTTAGGTAGTTTTATTTAGAAGGCCTCCCGGATGGCCATGGACAACGACTGGTCATCTAGAATGGGCATGGGGAAACCACATCGGAAAATCCTGATGAACTTTCTCGACCATAACTATTACCATGTATAAACCAAGCAAATGTATAATAAGATAACAGGGACTTAAATATCAAAGATGGTGAGCCTTCACTTACTGACATTAGACCGCTATCATATATTTGTGCTTTGGCATAATTAAAAGCAAATCCATTAGCAAACACCCTGTCTACCCATCCTTTCAGTATAGCTGGCATGCTAAACCAATAGAGTGGAAACTGGAAAATAACCAGGTCGGCTTCCTTTACTTTTTCCATCTCAGTCTTGATGTCATGACTCAGACGGTCTTCCTTGAAAGCCGTTCCAACCTCTCGTATATAACTAAACTTTTTGGCATCAGATGATTCACCTATAAAAAAAATGCAAGTGTAAATAGAGAGAGAGAGAAATGGGGTTTAACGTCCACTCGACACAAACTAGGTCATTTCGGGACTAACACATGGTTCAATTTTATTTCAATAATTCGCTTGCGCGTTGGGGTCTTTGGCAGTGGGAGGAAACCGGAGGACCAGGAGAAACCCCACGAGGTTGGACAGGCGACCCTACTCCTTGTCACGTACAACCGGGGAATCGAAACTACGCCAGTTGACTCAATGACAGACCTAATGATACAGCGCGCACGTGCTAACCATTCGGCCACCCAACTCCCAGGAGTAAATAAGTACGCTAAATATTCTACAATAAAAGTGGAATAACATGTATAAAATCCCCCCTAATTAACCTAAACTGATCTTTTTATAATAAGACATTTCAAGGCGTCAATCACTGTGGCTTCGACTCCATACTTGTAATCCCGTGAGTTTTTTCCGGGTACTCCGATTTCCTCCCACTGCCTGTGCGCAAGCGAATTGCTGAAAAGAGGATTTACCATGTTAGTCCTGATCTAGTTTTTGTTGGGAGGTTTATAATAATAATAATATACTATTCAAAAAAAGTAGGGGATATTTGATTTTTAAGTGTTATTAAAGTCACCTAATGAAACTGACGAAGAAACAAATGACAAAATGAAATGAAGTTCACATTCATCGATTTATTCCAAATGATCGTTAGACTAAGTAAGGCACAGACTGACCATTATAAGGGTAAAATGATACCCGGGGTCAAACAGCAAAGTTACCACAGCATCACAACCAAGTCAGTAACGGGTAAATCCTCCTCTGTTTGCCAAACAAGCATTGATCCGACGTGGCATACTCCTAATGAGACGTCTAAGGTCATTTTGGTCCAGATTGTCCCATTCCTGTTGCAACGCAGCAGCAAGTTCTTGGACATTGGCAGGACGTTGTTGACGTTGACGTAACCTCTGTTCAAGCATGTCCCAGACATGCTCGATGGGGGAGAGGTCGGGACTCAGTGCTGGCCAAGGTAATGTGGTGATGTTCTGTTGTTGGAGGTAACCTGTAACGATCCTGGCCCTGTGACATATTGCGTTGTCATCCTGGAAGATGAAACGGCGGCCATGACGTCGTGCGAACGGCACAACATGGACTGCCAAGATGTTGTCCCGGTAGTACTGGCCTGTAACACGCCCTGCAACAACATGTAAAGCCGTTCTTCCAGCAACAGTGATGCCTCCCCACACCATAACAGAACCACCCCCAAATCGATCATGTCTGATGACGTTAACGTCTTGGAAGCGCTCGTTTCGACGACGCCACACCCTCCTACGTCTGTCCAAAAAATCAACAGTGAACCTTGACTCATCTGAAAACATCACATTGCTCCAGCGTCGATTATCCCAGTGTTGACGACCCCTACACCAACGACTTCTTGCCTGAATGTGATGATCTCTCAAACAAGGGATCACGCGAGGACGTCGGGCGCGAAGGTGACCCCTATGCAGTCGATTCCGAATCGTCTGGCCACTCACTCTCACACCAGTGTCTGTTTGAAGACGAGCGCTGATCTGATTTGCTGTGATGACACGATTTCTCAAGGCCAAGGTACGGATAAATCGATCCTGGGCTTGAGTTGTCGCCCTTGGTCGACCTGAGCGTGGTCTGTCCTGTACAGATTGTGTATCACGGTATCTGGACCATAGCCTGCTTATGACAGACTGAGAAACATTCATCGTCCGCGCCACAACCGCCTGTGTTGTGCCGATCTGTAGCATGCCAAGGGCACGTAACCTTTCATTTTGGGTAAGCCGACGCATATCAAAATTTGTTTTCTGGTCACTAAAACAATTAAACTGATGTTTCCACCCGGGAATTCAATGCCACAATGACTGTAACATTCAAAGTCAGAGTCGTGCAAATCTTGGGTTGGACCCCCATGATGATCCCAAGCATCACCTGCATTCCATGCGGTAGCTATTGGTGCTATTGGGCGTCACATGTAACTGGGAATGTTTCTTCTGTTAGGTTCTATAGTGACTTTTTTCGTAGTCATTTGCATATTTTAGTATTATGCCCCCTTTATAACAAAGAAATGAAAAAGACAGTTACAGAACAAGGCACTTAACAAATACTCACACACAAAGCATTTAAATATATACTGATAAGCTAAATAGGTTAACTTCAAAACTAAAAGTAATATGATAGATAATCTTATGTAGTAAGTAGTTGATATATTAAATATAGGCTACAGGTTAAGAAGAAGAAATAACATGCCTAGTGATATTTTTCTTAAATAAATGAAGATTTTTAATATTTTTAAGTGAATATGAGAGAGCACTGTGCCTCTATATTGTAAACTACTTTAAAAACCATTTCGGTCTTTCTGTAAAATTATACTATTATCATGTACTACTACTACACCAATACACGTTCTATAAGTGGTCTATGTATATTGGTCTATGTATATATTACATACGTTCTACAAGAGGTATATACATATTAATCTATATATTTGCGCCCAGAGATAGAGATACTGGTATAATATACTCGCCTATTATATCAGATCTGGTAGCTCTTGGTTCAAAATGCTGAGCATACAGGTCAATGACCTTGACCTTATAACCTTGACTTTCTAAAGTCTGGACTGCAGCATTCTTGAGAGCAGCATTAAAAGACAATGGGTCTTGATGAGCATATACTATCAATACATTCTTAATTACAGCAGCCATTTTCTTTTTATTCTCAACTTGTACAACTTTGACTGAAAGTAAAATAAAGGAAAATATGATTATATCAAAAACAAGAATGAAATGTTCCCTACGGATTATGTGGACGTATATTGTTGTCGCCCCTGTCCGTCCGTCCGTTCGTCCGTCCACAATTGTTTGTGAAAAGTCTACAGGTCACAATTTTTATCCGATTTCAATGAAACTTGAAATATAGGTTTATCACCCTAAGATCTCGGTTCCGTTCGATATTGGCATCTATCGGACCGTAACTTCGTGGATTATGGCCCCTGATTGTACGAAAAATCACGTTTTTGGCTTGTGAACACTGTAGAGGTCACAATTTTTATCCGATTTTGTTAAAACTTGAAATGTATGTTTATAACCCAAAGATCGCGGTTCCTTTCGATATTCGCGCATATCGGACCGTAACTTCCTGAATTATGACCCCTGATTGTACGTAAAAAGGCGTTTTTTGGCTTGTGGACCCTATAGAGGTCATAATTTTTATCCGATTTAAAAAACCGTATTATTATATCACCGTTAAACCCTAAGGACGGTTGAGTTCGAATTTCGTGAAAATCGGCCCAAAACTGACAGACAAAATGGCCGCCGTTCGTTCTCAAATAGCGTAAAAATATGGTATATCAAGGTTGTGGACCCTATAGAGGTCACAATTTTTATCCGATTTTGTTGAAACTTGAAATGTAAGTTTATAACACAAAGATCTCGGTTCCGTTCGATATTCGCGCATATCGGACCGTAACTTCATGAATTATGGCCCCTGATTTTACGCAAAAACGCGCTTTTTGGCTTGTGGACCCTATAGAGGTCATAATTTTTATCCGATTTAAAAAATCATATTATTATATCACCGTTACACCCTAAGGACGACTGAGTTCGAATTTCGTGAAAATTGGCCAAAAACTGACAGATAAAATGGCTGCCCTTCGTTCTCAAATGGCGTAAAAATATGGTATATCAAGGTTGTGGACCCTATAGAGGTTACAATTTTTATCCGATTTTGTTGAAACTTGAAATGTGAGTTTATAACCCAAAGGTAATCGAAATCTTCCGAACCATTGTCGAAGCTTGGCTGCAGTTTAGCCCAGTCGTTGCAGAAAGCTAGAACGTTAAACCCCATTTCATTTCATTTCATTATACGCCCACATTTTCATGTGGACGTATATTGTCGTCGCCCCTGTCCGTCCGTCCGTTCGTTCGTCCGTCCACAATTGTTTGTGAAAAGTCTACAGGTCACAATTTTTATCCGAGTTCAATGAAACTTGAAATATAGGTTTATCACCCTAAGATCTCGGTTCCTTTCGATATTGGCATCTATCGGACCGTAACTTCGTGGATTATGGCCCCTGATTGTACGAAAAATCACGTTTTTGGCTTGTGAACACTGTAGAGGTCACAATTTTTATCCGATTTTGTTAAAACTTGAAATGTATGTTTATAACCCAAAGATCTCGGTTCCTGTCGATATTCGCGCATATCGGACCGTAACTTCCTGAATTATGGCCCCTGATTGTACGTAAAAAGGCGTTTTTTGGCTTGTGGACCCTATAGAGGTCATAATTTTTATCCGATTTAAAAAACCGTATTATTATATCACCGTTAAACCCTAAGGACGGTTGAGTTCGAATTTCGTGAAAATCGGCCCAAAACTGACAGACAAAATGGCCGCCGTTCGTTCTCAAATAGCGTAAAAATATGGTATATCAAGGTTGTGGACCCTATAGAGGTCACAATTTTTATCCGATTTTGTTGAAACTTGAAATGTAAGTTTATAACCCAAAGATCTCGGTTCCGTTCGATATTCGCGCATATCGGACCGTAACTTCCTGAATTATGGCCCCTGATTGTACGAAAAATCACGTTTTTGGCTTGTGGACCCTATTAAGGTCATAATTATTATCCGATTTAAAAAATCATATTATTATATCACCGTTACACCCTAAGGTCGACTGAGTTCGAATTTCGTGAAAATTGGCCCAAAACTGACAGATAAAATGGCTGCCCTTCGTTCTCAAATGGCGTAAAAATATGGTATATCAAGGTTGTGGACCCTATAGAGGTCACAATTTCTATCCGATTTTGTTGAAACTTGAAATGTAAGTTTATAATACAAAGATCTTGGTTCCTGTCGATATTCGTGCATATCGGACCGTAACTTCATGAATTATGGCCCCTGATTGTACGCAAAAACGCGTTTTTTGGCTTGTGGACCCTATAGAGATCATAATTTTTATCCGATTTAAAAAAAACCGTGTTAATATATCACCATTACACCCTAAGGACGGCTGAGTTCGAATGCCGTGAAAATCGGCCCAAAACTGACAGACAAAATGGCCGCCGTTCGTTCTCAAATAGCGTAAAAATATGGTATATCAAGGTTGTGGACCCTATAGAGGTCACAATTTTTTATCCGATTTTGTTGAAACTTGAAATGTATGTTTATAACACAAAGATCTTGGTTCCTGTCGATATTCGCGCATATCGGACCGTAACTTCCTGAATTATGGCCCCTGATTGTACGAAAATCACGTTTTTGGCTTGTGGACCCTATTAAGGTCATAATTATTATCCGATTTAAAAATCATATTATTATATCACCGTTACACCCTAAGGACGACTGAGTTCGAATTTCGTGAAAATTGGCCAAAAACTGACAGATAAAATTGCTGCCCCTCGTTCTCAAATGGCGTAAAAATATGGTATATCAAGGTTGTGGACCCTATAGAGGTTACAATTTGTATCCGATTTTGTTGAAACTTGAAATGTAAGTTTATAACCAAAAGATCTTGGTTTCTTTCGATATTCGCGCATATCGGACGTAACTTAATGAATTATGGCCCCTGATTGTACGAAAAATCACGTTTTTAGCTTGTGGACCCTATAGAGGTCATAATTTTTATCCGATTTAAAAAAAAACGTATTATTATATCACCGTTACACCCTAAGGACGACTGAGTTCGAATTTCGTGAAAATCGGCCCAAAACTGGTAGACAAAATGGCCGCCCCTCGTTCTCAAATTGCGTAAAAATATGGTATATCAAGGTTGTGGACCCTATAGAGGTCACAATTTTTATCCGATTTTGTTGAAACTTGAAATGTAAGTTTATAACTCAAAGATCTTGGTTCCTTTCGATATTTGCGCATACCGAATTGTAATTTCCTGAATTATGGCCCTTGATTTAGGAAAAATCACTTTCGTTTTAGCTTGTTTTCTATCCATCTCTCGAAAATGTGGGCGTATCCTGCCTGGCAGCCGCTGGTTTTATATCTTTATTATCCCAGATGGTGCAGAAAAGTAGGACGCTAAACCTCATTTCATGAACCTAGTCGGCGCAGAACAGTAGGACGCTAAACCTTGTTTTATTTCATGTCTTCATTAGCCCAGATAGAAAAGTAGGACGCTAAACCTCATTTAATTTAATTTCATTAATATTTTCGGACTGAAATGGAGAGGTCATTTCCACAAGAATAATACACCTATTGGGAGTTCTGGGTTAGGGTTAGTGTTAAACCGCGACACCAGAAAAAACATACCATGAATGGTCTTTCTGTCGGTAATCGAACCAAGAAAAAATTGCCAAAAATTAAAATTTCATTATCCAGGCCCGTAACTAGAGGGGGCGCAGGAGCCCCCTCCCCCCCCCCCCCCTGCAAAAAGTTTTAATAATAATAAATTATTCTGTATCAAAGGCCTCCGGCCCAAAGTACACGTATAATATAATATAATATAATAAAGTTAATCATATAAAATAGTTAAAAGAATAAAGACATCAAATATCATCAATATAATACACACAAACAGCGGTATTATAGGTTGTTAAATATAAATAATATATAGAAATTTTTAGGTTTGTTTTATAAATTTTTCTCTTAATCTCATACTCCTCAATACGTATTTTCCAAGATTTTCACACATATTTTCATTTGACATAACATATTTAAATTGACTAATATTATCTTTTCGGTTGTTGCAAATTTCTGGCAAAAGTTTTGTTCGTAGATTTGAGTATAAAGGACAGTTAACAATAAGATAGGTTGCCAGGCAACGAAACATACGCCCACAGCAGCTAAATCGTCCGGGCAGTCAACAAGAGTTGTCACATATTTTTAATTTTCGGTAATGAGACATTTATAATACACTAAAATCTGATTATAAATTTAAAGTCAATATTAACTTTGGCCTCTAGAGCGTCCACAAGATTTTTTGAAGTGATCAAGGGCCATAACTCTGGCAGTAATTATCGGAAATTGCTAAAAATCAATAGGCTTCTTCGTCGCATGACCTTAAACACTGTGTATGAATTTAAAGTCAATCGGATATTAAAGGGGAAGACCAACGATTTTCAATAAGGTTTCCATAAATAATAAATATATATTTAGAAATAATCCCTCCTATAACATATGCAAAAAATAATTTGCAAGCGAGAAATTAATTTTTATTAATACCGGAAGTGACGTAGTTGGTTCGACACGCTCACTGGTCACTATAGTAAACATATAAATTTGGAGCAAGTTTAGCGCTGTATTTTGTGATCGTTTCGCCGTTTGGCAGAAAATCTGATGAAAGGTAATCTTTATTAGGATATTAAGAACAAGAACTTACGGTGTTTTGAAGGTATAATATACAACGCGTTTGTGTAAATTAAGTTTCTAAACTGGACACTGTGACACAATTTAAGCCACAGGTTGCCAGCTGGATCGGTCGAATAGGTCGCTAGCCGAATAGGTCGCCAATTTGTGTTCGGTTAATATCTGTCACGTGCCAGCTATCACGTGATGTAAACAATTAGCCATGTGGCTATTGAGGAGCAGTATTTACAAATTCTATTTATTCTTTGTATATTTTGCCATCGACCGGTCTCTATTTCAAGCCTGTGATTGCCACACCGAAAACGTAGTAGTGTCGATTTATATTCGTTTGTTATGTTTTCATTTAAACATGATTCAAATATGAACTGATTTTTATATACACCGTATGTAGTGGAACTAATTTCAGTCGACCAG